GGTCAAAATATAGTCGACAGCGATTCGAATAAAAAGCGAGGATCGACCGTAGAGTGACATTGGAAGTAATGGACATGGAATGGAGAGCATCCTTCGGGCCCACAGAGCGGTTTCTTCAGAGCATTTCTCTTTCGATTTTTTTTTTGCGATGCCATGGTGGCGGCTGCAGCAGGTTCCTTGGCGCGGCGATCGCCCTCTTGCCACGCGAAGGCGGCGAAGGCAGTGAAGGCACTGACACTACTGGAGCGCGCTTTCGCCTTTATATCGACCGGGCCGCCCCGGGCGCCTCGCTGCGCGTAGAGCTGTTCACTGCGAGTCCGGAGCCCGGGCCTCGCTCGCCGGCTGCGCTGGCCGTGCCGCCCTGGCCGCCCTGGCCGCCCTGGCCGCCCTGGCCAAGCCGGGCCCACGGCGGGCAGGCAGGCAGGCAGGCAGCGCCGGCCATCGCAACCGCTCACGCCCCGCTCCACAGTGGGCCAGAAGACCGGTGGAGCGGCCAAAACTCTAGACGCGTTTCGAGCTCCAGAGTCGCTAAATAGGCCTCGAACTGAACCTGTGACCCCACCAATGGATTGCTCTCCGAACGAGGAATCCATTGGTGGGGTCACACGTTCGGTTCGAGTCCCATTTAGCGACTCTGGAGCTCAAAACGCGTGTAGAGTTTTGGCCGCCTCCACCGGTCTTCTGGCCCACTGTGCGCTCGCCTCCCACTGAACCTCCCCCCGGCAACCTTTAGACTCCTGACGTGCTCGCGAGACTCGGCAACAAACTCGGTAAAGCTGCAACCGCGGACGCGGGCAGAGTCCATCTTCAGGGAGTACACCCACGGCCACTCCGTCCACGGCCCTTTTGGTCGCCCAGGAGTCACCCTGCTGGTCCGCTAATTCTTCTCTTTGGCGTTGTCCCTGTTTGCCCTGGGCTTGGCAACGCCGTGGCGTGAGTGGCGGGAGAATAGGACAGGGCAGGGCGCGGCGCGCAGACCGGATCGACAGTCGGCTTGACCTCCGCCCCGCCTGGCTGGCTGGCTGGCTGGCTGGAAAGCCTGGAATGAAGCAATTCTCCCCTTTCCTTTCCGAGTCAGAAAGGCCATCGCATCGAACGCCATCGAGGGCGCGTTCCAGCAGAGGGGCCCGCCCCGCCCCGCCCCGCCCCGCCCCGCCCCGCCACGGACCGGATGGAGGGGTCGCACTGCCCATTATGGAGGGCCCATGTGCGCGGGCGTGCCCCCGCAGTCTTCGAGGGAGGTTGTTGAAAAAAAAGAAGAAAAGAAAGACCGTGCCCTTTAAAAGATTAGTTTATTTCATTTGAAGCAAGAGCCTTCGCGGGGGGCGTTTACCGAAGAGGGCGGAAAACGGGCGCGTCTCCCTTGGAAAGGCCTCCAGGCTGTTTGTACACTGTGCGCATCGCCGGCGAGGGTGTGGTGGCCGGTGGCGGGGGGCACTGGAAAATGTCTTTGCGCTTTCCTGGCGTGGGGAAGCCCCTGAGTCGCGCGGGCAGGCAGGCCCGCTGGGCCGGCGTGCCGACGTGCTGCCTACCCAACTGGCGTTCGCTCACAAACATCATCACAGATGAAAAAAAGAAAAATCCGCCTGCTTAACACTTGTTCAACAAATGTTTAACTTTGGGATCCGAACGCTGCGATTGGCTCGGTCCGCGTGGACTGCGATCGGACGCGACCCCAGGGACGCGCCGAAAAAAGAGGACACGCGTGTTTGAAATAGCTTGGGTGATGATGCGCATGTCGTTGTGGGCTGCGGTCAACGCCGACAGCCTCACGCCCGCAGTCATCGCTCTGTCTCTGTCGCACTCACGGGGCGCGCCGGACGGGTGCGAGAGAGAAGCGCAGGTGCAGCATCGGAATCAGTGAGGCGGGGTGGCAGGCCCGGGCCCGGCCCCCGGCCCGGCCAGGCAAAAGCCAACAGCAATCAAATCATGAAACGGGCACACACACGAGCGCGCACTCACACACGGACACGGAGGGATGGACTGACGCACACAGACACACTCACACAAAGAGAGCAGGGCCGCGCTGTATCATGCCGCAGCCTGAATGCACCGCGGTCGCGCCGTGAGTCCGTGAGGCGAGCCGCCGCCCCGCCCCGCCCGCCGCAGTGGCCGCCAAACAGACTCAAACATCGCCACCGACGGACCGCCGTTCGACAAGCAGGTCGCGGCTTTTGTTGACGACGGGCAGGTCTCGCGCAGGCTCGGACTGGCCAGGGCAGACAGGCAGAAAAATCTGCCGGGGCCTTTCGGGTTTGGGACCAGTAACGTCACAAAGTTGGTCAAAGAGTCCTAGTATATATAGGACGAAAGTAGCCGTTTTCGCTGATTTCGGGCGGCCACTGCGTCCGATCTAATTGCGGTCAACGGCCTCCCTCGACGCCCTAGTATTCTTAAGACCCTACTCTTTCATGCCCTGTATCGGGAAGACGTTGACCACAACGATTTTGGCGTTGACCGCAACGATTTTCCGACCAAGTTGGTCAAAAAGTGGTCGAATCTCGGAAATTTGCTGATTTTGCTGACTTTGGGTGGCTACTGTGTCCAATCTAGTCGCCGCAAAAGGCCTCCCTCGACGTCCTAGTATTCTTAAGATCCTACTCTTTCATGCCCTGTATCGGGAAGACGTTGACCACAACGATTTTGACTTTGACCGCAACGACTTTCCGACTAAGTTGGTCAAAAAGTTGTCGAATCTCGGAAATTTGCTGATTTTGCTGACTTTGGGCGGCCACTGTGTCCAATCTAGTTGCCGTAAAAGGCTTCCCTGGACGCCCTAGTATTCTTAAGACCCTACTCTTTCATGCCTTGTATCGGGAATGCTATTGACCGCAATTAGTTTGGGAGCGGTAGCCTCACAAAGTTGGTCATGAAGGGTAAAAACATAATGATTGTCGGGGGCCTTTTGCGGTCTTATCCGCTGGGTCCTTTTGGGGGCCAGTCCGAGCCTGGTCTCGCGATGGTTGTCGACGATCCTCTGGCACTGGCTGGGATTCGAACCTGCGACTTTGGAACGGGCACGCACGCCTAACCGTGCACACCGCCACACCACTCGATGTCAATCCACCCGCCGCAGGAGGAGCGGGAGGAGGGTCCGGACCTGAACGCCGCGATGAATTATTTCGCAAGCAACCCTCCCGACGACGGTCACCGCCACCTCGCCGTCTCTCTCGCACCGCTGTGCGACGACCCATGAGTGCGAGAGAGATGGAGAGACTCTGAATGAGCCTGCAGCGTGGTGCGGCTTGCGCCTTGGTGGCGTCGGTGGGGCGCTCTATCGCCGCATCACGGACCCGGCCGCATAGTGGGCCAGAAGGCCGGTGGAGGCGGCCAGAACTCTAGACGCGTTTTGAGCCCCAGAGTCGCTAAACAGGCCTCGAACCGAACGTGCGACCCCACCGATGGATTGCCCTCCGAACGAGGAGTCCATTGGTGGGGTCACACGTTCGGTTCGAGTCCCATTTAGCGACTCTGGAGCCCAAAACGCGTCTAGAGTTTTGGCCGCCTCCACCGGCCTTCTGGCCCACTGTGGGCCGGGCCGGGGTGAGGCTGGGTGAGGCCGCCCAGTGAATCATCCACTTTGGCGACGGAATGAGTCTCCCCCCGCCACGCCGCGCCAAGACGGAGGCCGCCACCTCCCCCCGAACGGCGTTTACTCGTCGCTCTGTCTCTCTCGCACTGCCGCGGCACGCCGGCACGCCGAGAGGGTGCGAGGGAGACGCGGCTGGCGCCGCTCCTGGAGGCCGTGTTCCTGCAGCGAGTTTGCGGTGTGGTGGCGCGGCGGCGCGGCGATGCGCAAGCGAGACCATCAAGGTGGAGCCGGTGGTGGGGCCTGGCGCCGCCTCGCGCCGCCTCGCGCTGACACGGCACTGCAGCCAAATTAGCGCACCATCGTTACGGACACACCAACACACCGACACACCAACACACCGACACACCAACACACCGACACACCGACACACTTACACACTGACACAAAAAAGGGCCGTAAAGCGCACTCGGCTGCACTGCTATCGTTTTGTTTGTTGTTTTTGTTTTTTCATCCTGCTTGGGTTGGCGCGTTGCAGTTTCACCCCTGTGAGATATTATATCAGCGTCCAATTTCTTGTCGTGGCCGTGAAGCAGAAGTGACATTGCTGTGCAGTGCTGGACTCATCTTTGACCCAGCGGCTCGGCGGGCAGGCCGTCGTGTCCGAGTATTCCGGAACGCCGGGGAGCTGTGGCGTCGATGAGAGTGTTGATGCGATTCCGCGACAGTCGTTCTCGTCGCTCTGTCTCTCTCGCACCTGCAGGGGACGCTCCACGAGTGCGAGAGAGACAGAGCGACGAAAACGACTCTCGGAATCAGTCCGCTGCTCGGCCTACTCAGCGCTCGGGGAACGCGCGCCGCATGCAGAGTTGACGAGCTTGAGAATAGAACCCTGATCCAAACCGCGCCGATAGACAGGGACAGAGAGGGAGAGAGAGAGAGAGAGAGAGAGAGAGAGAGAGAGAGAGAGAGAGAGAGAGAGAGAGAGAGAGAGAGAGAGAGAGAGAGAGAGAGAGAGAGAGAGAGAGAGAGAGAGAGAAAGCGTCGACTGGAGGGGGAACGGCTTTGATTAGAATCGAATACGTGCAATCTCACCGACAGTGCGGGACTTCAGCCTTTCGTTCCATTCGCGTCCGTGACATTTTCATTGCGTCCCATCCTATACTTATGCTCGTTCTTTTACCACACACACATTCACTATCACACGCACACACACACTGAAAAGCGCACAGGGCGCGCGAAACACTTCAAAGCTTTCCACCGCTGCCCGCAGCGCCGCAGCGCGCCCTGGTGTCGGCGGCATGCAACTCGCCTCCGTTCTTTGTCGCTGCCGTAACTTTGTTTCGCGCGCTTTCCTGCATTCCGCCATGTTTTGTTGTTGTTGTTTTCGTTTTTTCGGCAACTGCATATCGTACACGCGCGCCGCCTGCTCGGTCATTTGCTAACAAGTCTTGTTTTTGTTTGTGCGCAGGCCGGTGCGGGCGGGAGAGCCCTTGCGAACAGCTGTGCTTCGAGCTCCACGACGGCATGTTCGAGTGCGAGTGCCGGGACGGCTACGTCCTGCACCTCAACGGCTACGGCTGCCTCGGTAAGTCAAACTTTTTTTTTCAATTGCCTTTTTCATCCTTTCTTCCTCTCCTTTCTTCTTTATTTTTGCACGGGGAACCCGAAACCCAAGTAAAGCGGCGCGAGGCACGCAGCCAGCGGTGGGAACATTTGCCGGAAGTTTCGCGTTGAACTGGCAGTCGGCCGGAGCCGAGTCAGCTGGAAATCTGGCAACGGCGCCGACGCGTGGCGGGGCGGGGGCGGGCCGGGGGCGGGCCGGGGGCGGGCCGGGGGCGGGCGTAGGACCGTCGGACCGCGCGGCGGAACAAACCCACCACCCCGTGGCCGCCCCGTGCCGAAGCCAGCCCGAATTTGGGGCAGGACAGTACATCTTGGTGGTCCGATTGGAGAGGAGGGGGGTATCCGGTTTGTTAGGCCGCTCGACCGCTCGGCCGCTCGGCCGCAGCAGGCCGGTGCGGCAGGTGCCACACCCCCATCTCTATGCAAAGACTCCGCCATCCCACAGTGGGCCAGAAGACCAGTGGAGGCGGCCAAAATCCCGGACGCGTTTTGAGCTCCAGAGTCGCTAAATGGGACTCGAACCGAGCGTGTGACCCCACCAATGGATTGCTCTCCGAACGAGGAATCCATTGGTGGGATCACACGTTCGTTTCGAGTCAAGTTTAGCGACTCTGGAGCTCAAAACGCGTCTAGAGTTTTGGCCACCTCCACCGGTCTTCTGGCCCACTGTGATCCACCGCGGCGTCCCGCAGGGCGGCCTGGCCTGGCCGGAAACGTCACCGAGCCACCAGCGGATCAGTGTTTCCGACGCTCTGTCTCTGTCGCACTCATGGATCCCGCCGAAGGGGTGCGAGAGAGACAGAGCATCGACGTGGCGTCACTGGGCGTGGCTGCGGGCAAACCGTTTGCCCGGCCGGCAAGGACCGAAGGACAAGGACCCAGACGCGGCGCGCCATTTCTCAGAGTGTCCCCGCTCGCGCCGCTCTCCGCTCCCTGTGAGCTTTTGTCCCGTTCCAGCCGGAGGGCCGCTGGGGACCGAAACTATGTCCAAAGTTCCAATGAAGGAGTTGGTTCAAAGTCACGGCGGCCGGCGGGTGGGGGTGGAAAGGGGGGGGGGGTAGCAGTGCAGCGCGAACCACTACCAACTTAGAGTCATTACCCGATTGCCCGCCTGGTGGCCACACTGTCTGGCGGCGCCGAATTCCGCTAAACGGTTCAGGAGCCGGGCGGGATCGAACCGCGGTCGCGTCGCTCTGCCGCCCTCGCATTCGCGGGCCGTGCCGCGCAGTGGGCCAGAAGACCGGTGGCGGCGGCCAAAACTCTAGACGCGTTTTGCGCTCTAAAATCGCTGAATGGGACTCGAACCAAACGTGTGACCCCACCAATGGATTCCTCGTTCGGAGAGCAATCCATAGGTGGGGTCACACGCTCGGTTCGAGTCCCATTTAGCGACTCTGGAGCTCAAAACGCGTCCGGGATTTTGGCCGCCTCCACCGGTCTTCTGGCACACTGTGAGCCGGCGGGCCGGCGGTGTGCGAGGGCGACGGAGGGTGACGGATGCCTCGTCGGCCGTCAAACTCGCCGCTCCAAGTCATGTCGTCGTTTGTTGCAGACCCCGAGCAGCAGAAGCTGTGGCACAGGCTTCCAGGTGAGTTGCCGGCACACTGTCTGCCGGCCACGCGGAGACAGAGAGACAGTTCTGGGGCAGTTGGCGCGGCGGCGTCGCGGCGTCCCACAGTGGCGTGGAGTGGAGGGGAAGCTTAGAAGGGCGTTGGGTATTTCATGATCCCCTGTCAGGACCGCATCGGGTTGACGACCATTTCTCGCCGATGGTCGGGCTCGCTCCCTCCTGGCGCGGATTTCATTTTGGCTTATTAAGGTGCGTTGCTCCGGGAAGGGAAGGCCAGGGCGGCCCGGCCGCGTTCCGATAAGAAAAGTTGCAGGTGGCCAATGTTCCCACCGCGGTGGCGATACAACCCACGACCAGCAGCACTTTTTATTTTTCCTCTTTTTCTTTCCTTCTTTATGCCTTCTCTCTCTTTCGCTCTTTTATTCAGTTTCGTTTCGCTCGGCCCGGCCGAATTTTCCGCGCCGCTCGCGGAACGCGACGGGAACGCGACGGCCGCGGAGGCGACACCTCGGCAGCGCGGTGGAGAATTAATGAAAAACACGCGAAAAATAAAAGTACGACAGAATAAAAAAAAGGAAGGAGATGGAATGAAATGCACGGGGAGGGGAAAAAGAGGGGGGCTAAGTCCCGGGCCAAAGATGGAACAACTCCGTTAATTTTCCCCCCTGCGCGCCGACGACCTCGCCACCGACGACGCCGCACAGTGGGCCAGAAGACCGGTGGAGGCGGTCCAAGTCCCAGACGCGCGTTTTCAGCTCCAGAGTCGCTAAATGGGACTCGAACCGACCGTGTGACCCCACCAATGGATTGCTCTCCGAACGAGGAATCCATTGGTGGGGTCACACGCTCGGTTCGAGTCCTGTTTAGCGACTCTGGAGCTCAAAACGCGTCTAGAGTTTTGGCCGCCTCCACCGGTCTTCTGGCCCACTGTGCGCGGGCCTCCAATGCACCACCGGCACCGCAGACGGTCGGACGGCCCCTCCACAAGTCTATCGCCGCAAAGCGGGGTGACTGGCGCGCCGTGCGAGGAGGATGGAGATAGTGCAGCGGCACTGTAAAGGAGGACAAAGGGAAAGAAACCCGCCGCAGCGGGGTGTAACAGTGTAACGCCTGGCAGGTAGGCAGTGCGGACGCAGACGTGCTCGGCGGGCTGGCCCAGCTGCAGCCGTAAGGGGCCATGGCATGGAGCCTTCGAGTGCTTCGAGGTATCGGCAAAACAAGTTCAAACGCACACACGCACACTCACACACTACACACAGACACGTTCTTTAATTCACCTCTCGTGCGTATGATGAGGCCCCATTAACAACGCATTGCACGCCATCCCGCGTGCACCCCTCTCCCTCGGCTCAGAAAGGGACTGCACTTTAAATAATTTAGAGCTTTTTTTCCCCCGCGCCGGTGGCGCTGGCGGTGGCGGCGGTGCTGGCTGCCGTGTGCCGCAGCAAATAGCTCATTGAATTTGGCTCGTGTGCGTGGCGAGGTGGTTGCGGGGGCGGGCCTGGCTGGGGCTGCCGAGGGCCTAGTCCGGCCTAGGCAGAGGAGGGCCCGGCAGCAAGCTGATGCCAAACCGTGCTGCTTCGCGCTGTCTCTCTCGCACTCGTGGCGCGTCCCGTCGGGGTGCGAGAGAGACAGGGGCACCGTTCGGAAGGGGCTTGCTGGTACGCCCCGCCCCTCGCCACCCTCTGCTACGCAGCACAGTGGGCCAGAAGACCGGTTGGAGGCGGCCAAAACTCTAGACGCGCTTTGAGCTCCAGGGTCGCTGAATGGGACTCGAACCGAACGTGTGACCCCACCAATGGATTGCTCTCCGAACGAGGAATCCATTGGTGGGGTCACACGTTCGGTTCGAGTCCCATTTAGCGACTCTGGAGCTCAAAACGCGTCTAGGGTTTTGGTCACCTCCACCGGTCTTCTGGCCCACTGTACCCAGCCCTTCGGGACTGCGGGCCTTCGGGCCCCGCGTCGGCCCTTGGCCAGCGAGGGCGTAGGGTGTCCCGTTTCAAGGGTTCAAGGGACCGAGCCTCAATCAATGGCGGAGCCGAAGGGGATCACGGCACACACGATCATGCCACCAGGCCCACCAGGCCGGCAGCACACCACCGCCAACAGCACGGCCAAGCACACGGTGCGGCCGGGAGCGGCACTCACGACACATCCACAAACAACGCCCCAACGCCCCAACGCCCCAACGCGGACGAGGAAATTGCGGTGTCGAGCCTCGGAGGAAACGGCGCGGACGACGCGGTATTCGAACCCACCGACTGAGCTTCTTTGACCGTGATGGTGGTGCACTGCTGGTTCGGCTCCGGCTCGGGCGTTTCCATCCCGGGTCCGAACTTCTGGCCCCTCTGTCATGGCGAGCGCTCCCTCCTCAATCCTCCCCTCCATCGAGGCGCCGCGGTTCCTTGATTCCCATAACGACTCCGTTTGTATTCAGAGAGCGAGACAGCGAGAGACAGTAATGTATACATGGAGGGAGAGAGGAGGACGGGCAGAGGGAGAAGGAGGCCAAGAAGAATCAAAGCAGCAGTCCCTGCCTCTCTCACTCCCCACGCCCCGTGAGAGAGGAGAGAGGGGGGGGGCCTCCAGTTGGGAATCAGTCTGCAGCGGCAGCATCCCAGTGCGCTGTCTCCATTGAGCGATGCCTGCCCAAAAATGCGCGAGTAGTATGTGCCTGGCCTGGCTTTGTCCGCCAAGGACTGCCGGGGGAAGTTGTAGAAGTGGCGGAGGGGGTAGTGAAAGTCGAGAGGGGGGGGGAGAGAGCTTCTTGCTGCGCCTGCACTTGCTGATAGGCGCGGGGGGGGGGGGGGGAGCAGGGCACTGGAGACAGAAAGAGAGGGGGGAGTAGTCGGCCTCTAAGTCGTAATACCGTCCCAGCATGCACGGCGCAACACTGTAAAGCCTGATTACCGAGGCACGGCCGGCCGCCACCCCCACCGCAGCAGCAGCAGCCACAACAACAACAACAACAACAACAACCACAACAACAACAAAACGCAAACACAAAAAAATGAATCAGGAAAGGCGGTGGCGGTGGATCGAACTGGCGCCGGGTAAACGTGCCTGGAGTGACGATAAGCGAGGAATACGTACAGCGGAGCGCTATCCTCCCCCCCCCCCCCCCCACCCTTCCATTTCCACCTCCCACCGCCCACCCCCTCGCCCTCGGGGGGTTCCTTCCTGTCCTTTTCCTCGCCGCGTTACCGAATAGTCTGCATCGCCGGACGCGCGATACAATCGCACAGTGGGTCGCGTACACTGTTACCGCAGCGTATAGTGTACACACACCAGCAGCCGCGCGTTATCAGTTGTCACCACACTAGTGCGGTCGGTAGCGTAGTGGTTTCCGTCGCTGCTCGCGGCGACCAAGGTCTTGGGTTCAAATCTCAAGTGAGAATTTTCTTGTTTTTTTTTTATTTTTGTTGTCCTTGCTGCTGTTGTTGGCTTTGCGGGTCGCCGATGAGACAACGTGTCTCCGAGAGCAGACCGTCGAGGGAATGCCACGCGCAGTGCCTGTGGCTCTTTGAGGGGGGGGGGAAGGGCCAAAGCCGGCGGCGGCCGTCCCGGGTGGAAGGCACGCAGGCACGCCCGGCGCTGGGAAAACTTGCGGAGGGGAGGGGGAGGGGTGGGTGGCGGTAGCAGGGCGCCGCCGCTGTCAGCCGCCCCCGGCCCGCCCTGGGCCCGCCCCCGGCCCGCCCCATCTGGGGCACCATCTTGAGGGGCGTTCTGCAGCTGCAAAATGCCAGGATTTTCCCCGTTCATTCCTGGTTGCCGCTCCTTGTCACGAACTGGCGGGGCTTGGCGGGGCTTGGCGGGGCTTGGCGGCGGCGTGCATGACGGCGGCAGACGTGACCGGGGACCGCCGGGGACGCGGCGAGGAGGGGCGGCGCCAAGTAACTCCATTTTAATGGCTTGTTCGAGGCGCCGTCGAGCCGCGCCGATCTGAAATATCATCGTGTCGGCCGCTAGGCTCTCGCCCCCGCCCCGCCCCGCCCCCGCCCCACCTTTTCCGCCCTGGCGCGTCCCCGCCTGACGCCCCCTACGCCGTCTGGCGACAAACTATCGGGAATTCATTATTTCCACTGTACGTCGCCCCGCCGGCCGCGCGGAGCTAATAACCGCCCCGGGAGGACGTCGTGTGACTCGTGCTTTCTGTCTCCCTGTTGCAGTGACGCCGCCCACGCAGTACGCCGAGCCGGACGACGAGGACGAGGCCGAGCCGGCGGCCGGCGAGCAGGTGACGGACTACGAGTCCATCCTCTACTCGATGGGCGCCGAGATGGTGGCCAACCAGGACGAGAGCGTGGTCGCCGCCGCCGCGCCCAACATCACCGTCACGTCGTACGTGATCACGCCGCCGCGCGTGCCGGACGCGTCCACGGCGCGGCCGGGTCCGTCGCCGACCCCGAGGACCACGACGGCGGCCCCCACGCCGGAGCCGCCGCGCGTGCAGTTCGTGCCGGTGCGGCCCGACGAGGAGAACGCCCTCGACGGCGTCCTGGTGGAGGCGTGCCCGCTGGACTGCGGCCCGGGCGGCGCCTGCATCACCGAGACCACCGAGGCCGCCGAGACGGACGAGCGCCACCCGCAGCGCTGCCAGTGCCCGCTGGGCCGCGGCGGCGCCGCCTGCCAGGACGGTAAGCGCTATGGCCCATGACCCCTGCTGCTTCGCGTGCTTCGCGTCCTCCGGGCACCGCGCCGAAGTTATGCTCCAGGAGGTCGTATCTCATGGACCTGATAGAAACTACATACGACAACAACAAACAAGAAATATTCCCGTGCATGGACGCGCTTATCAAGCCGCTCCCCCGCTCACGACCGCGCGCCACAAATGAAGAGTGATCGCCTAATTTTGCCCACAAAAAATACACCCCGTCGCGTCCGTCTTTTACCATTTTTCCTGTTTTTTTTTAGGATCCGGCTAGGGCTTGTGCTCGCCGTCCAGTGCCCCGGAAACAACTACGGCCCAGCCAACGGGCCCTAATTCAAAGAGAGGCGATTTTCAGTTCACCTGCCTCGCCCCGCCCCGCCCCGCCCCGCCCCGCCCCGCCCCGCCCCGCCCCACAGTGCACACAGGGCGGGCGTCGCGGGGCGTCGTGCAAACAAGCGAGCAATCAAACTGTTGTTCCGCGGCCTTCCCGCGGCCTTCGGCTCAGCGTCCCTCAAAAGCCCCGCCGTTTTCCCCGGCCGCGCCATTTCGGCATTACCAACCGCGAGCACCACCAAGTCCCCTCGCTCCGTCTCTCTCGCACTCGCGCCGCTCACGGAGCCGTCCAGTGTGGGTGCGAGAGAGAGGCCGGCCGGCCGCAGGAACGGAGCAGGGCGTCGCGCCACCCGCGGATAGGACCCCGCGCAGTGGAGGGCGAGCCGGGGCGAGGCGAAGCGGCCACCGGCAAAGTGGCCTGCTCCGGCACGGCGAGGGAGGGCGAGCGGCGCGTGGCGGCGGGGGGGCGGGGCGGGGCGGGGCGGGGCGGGGCGGGGCGGGGGGGCGGGGCGGGGCCGGGGCGGGGCAGGGCGGGGCGGGGCGGGCGTGGCGCGCGGGGGTGTGTTTGTTGGAACACTGCCGTCCTTCATGCATAGCTAATCCCCGGCAGCTCTTTGAACGCGCTGCAGGCGCAGCGAGGCGGGGCGAGGCGGAGGCACACCAGACAGAGGGTTATGCGAACGGCAAACTGAGTGCCCAATCATTCGTTCGGCCCATTAGAAGCTCGGCCTTCCTCTCTCAAAATCTCAACGCGGTGGGGTCTTTATTTTCATCTTCCGCCCCAATTTGATTTTTTTTTTAAATTTCCATTTTTTGGGGGATGAGGTGACGACAAGTAATCTGCGCAAAGTGCCGCTGTGCTCGCCGCTCCCTGAGAGACCGTTGATGAAGGCCGCTGTGTTCGGCCCGCCGGCCGTCCCGCCGTCCCGCGGGCACGTCGCCCTGTCTCTCTCGCACTCGTGGAGCGTTCCGCTCGGGTTCGAGAGAGACAGAGACAGTCTGCGGGTGCGGCCGCCATAGCCCATCGCTATTGTCGACGGCTACCCTGCCCTGTCCTGCCCGGCCGCCCGGCCCGGCCCGGCCCTGGCCCACAAAGGCTTGTCCCTGTAGACTGCAGACTGCAGAGTTGCACAGTGGGCCAGAAGACCAGTGGAGGCGGCCAAAACTCTAAACGCGTTTTGAGCTCCAGCGTCGCTAAACAGGACTCGAAGCGAGCGTGTGACCCCACCAATGGATTCCTCGTTCGGAGAGCAATCCATTCACATCCATTCCACACAATCGAGAGCCGGCACACACACACACACACACACACACACACACACACACACACACGCGCGCGCGCGCGCGCGCACGCACACACACACACACAGACACACACTCACTCACTCAAAGAGGAACGGAGCGTTTTGTTTCCGTCTGTTTCCGGCAGTCCCAACTTTATGCAGGGAACGTGGCGTTCCGACACCCGTCCTGATTTCGGGATTGGTTTAATAAAAGTTTGCCATGCCGAATGGCGAGTGGCGTTGCGGGTCTCCTGTGTGTGTGAGTGAGCGCGTGCCTGCACGTGTGTGTGTGTGTGTGTGTATGTCTGTGTGTGTCTGTAGGCGTGTGTGTGTCTGTGTGTGTGTCTGTGTGTGTGTGTGCGTGTGTATATTTGCGTGTTGGTGGTGGTGGTGGGCAGTGTGTGTGAGTGGGTGGAGGCTAGTACTTTGCATGTATGAGCTCTTCAAAACGTGTTACAGTGGTACAGCACTACCCGAGGGCCCGGTCCTGGAGTGACTCTACCCTGACGGCCCCTCTCGTCCTCCTGGTGGTTACAGAGGTGACGCTGCACTACCCGCGCTTCTCCGGGCGCGGCTGGCTGGCGTTCCCCGCGCTGCGCGCCGCCTACAAGCGCGTCTCCATCCACGTCGAGTTCCGGCCCGAGGCCTGGGACGGCGTGCTGCTGCTGGCCGGCGAGCGGGACGACCTCACCGGGGACTACCTGGCCGTGGTCATCAACAAGGGCTTCGCCGAGTTCAGGTGAGTCCCGCAGCCCCAGGTCCCAGTGCCCCAGCGCACAGTGGGCCAGAAGACCGGTGGAGGCGGCCAAAACTCTAGACGCGTTTTGAGCTCCAGAATCGCTAAACAGTACTCGAACTGAACGTGTGACCCCACCAATGGATTCCTCGTTCGGAGAGCAGTCCATTGGTGGGGTCACACGCTCGGTTCGAGTCCCATTTAGCGACTCTGGAGCTCAAAACGCGTCTAGAGTTTTGTCCGCCTCCACCCGTCTTCTGGCCCACTGTGCGGCGGGACGATGCGGCTAACTGCAGAAAACACATCACGCCCGCGGACCGGGCCCGGGGTTCAAGTACCGGCAAGTGTTTCTTTTTTTTTGTGCCGGCAAGCTGGCGTCCTTTTGGTGGTAAGCGGCTCACCGTTGCTGAACGCTGAGTCAATCGAAGCGGCCGAGCGCCGGGGATCGGCGGCCAGCAGACTGATTCCGAGAGTCGCTTTCGTCGCTCTGTCTCTGTCGCACGGAAACGGCTCGCCGCATGAGTGCGAGAGAGACCGAGCGACGACTCTCGGAATCCGTCTCTGCAGGCAGCAGGCCGCATTCAGTGGCGATTAGGGCTCGGGGACGGCCCGGCTGCCGCCAGCATGGTTCACCGAGCTTTCTACTCCATCGATTTTACGGGTCGCAGACTGCGGGGGGCGCGGGGGCGGTGGGGGCGCGGAGGCGGCGGGGGCGGCGGGGGCGGCGGAGGCGGCGGGGCGGCGGGGGCGGCGTGCTGCCGGGTAGGCTTGCCAATCACCGGGGCCATTCTGCAAGTAAACATCGCCGTGGAGTCCACTCTTCATTCGGAATAAAAGAGCCCTTCGGCGCCCCGCCCCGCCCCGCCCCGTCACTCTGCCCCCCTCACTGCCTATTCATATCGCTCCGAACCTCTTCTACGTGGACGAGCAGCGGCGAGCGCCCTGCACCCCTGCACCTCACCTACAGTAGACCTACAGCACGACGCATGCTGCGTGCTGGGCGTGCTGGTGAGCGTACCCGAGGGTAGCCCTTGCCCGGCCCTGCCCGGCCCTGCCCGCACCTCTCGTGCACTGCGTATCGACCCAGGGCGATTACCACATCCCAAACACTGAGGCATGGTCGCGGCGACGCCAACAAAAGGACTCGAGAACGCCCTGCCGCCCGGCTGTTACGTCATTTCCAAACAGCCCAGCCCGAGGCGCAGTGGGCCAGAAGACCGGAGGAGGCGGCCAAAGTTCTAGACGTGTTTTGAGCTCCAGAGTCGCTAAACAGGACTAGAACCGAACGTGTGACCCCACCAATGGATTCCTCGTTCGGAAAGCAATCCATTGGTGGGGTCACACGTTCGGTTAGAGCCCCATTCAGCGGCCCTGGAGCTGAAAACGCGCGTCTGGGACTTGGACCGCCTCCACCGGTCTTCTGGCCCACTGTGCGAGGCTCAGCCCCGACAGAGCGCCCAGCGCAGCGCGCGGCCTGCTGCCTACAGGGGGTCGAATTATATCGCAACTCATCTTGCGTCCTTGTCCATTAAGCAGCCCCGCAGGAGTCTCTCTTGTCTCCGAGGGGCTTCCCTCTCCCCCCCCCGCCTCCCCTTCCCCCGGCGCCGAGATAGGGCCGCTGGAGTGACGCGCTCCAGAAGAGACTCCAGCGCAGACTCGAGTCTGCGAGGCACTGTGCGGCAGAGCCGGCAGTGTGCCGTCGGGAGCGTCGGCAGACGGAGAGCCCACTCAATGCGAAGCATTCTGCAAGCATTCTACCCATCCCCACGATGACACACAGACAGACAGGCAGGCAGGCAGACAGGCAGACAGACAGACAGACAGACAGACAGACAGACAGACAGACAGACAGACAGACAGACAGACAGACAGACAGACAGACAGACAGACAGACAGACAGACAGACAGACAGACAGACGGACAGACAGGCAAGCGGCTGGGGCACGTCAGACGGCGTCGTGGGGCCTCAAGAGCGTTGTGGGTGTGTGGGGTTGTGAGTGTGACAAGGCTTTACTTGTGCCCCTGGCAGCGCCTGGCACGGCACTGCTGCATACTGCAGACTCCGTGTAACGCGCTGCTGTTAAGGTTGACACTCTCCGCAGCCCGGTATAACGAGACTCGTATGACGCGTCACACATGCGAGTGCGAAAAACAGGATGTCCAACATTGCGTCACGTCGGTTGCTACTTTTTTGCCATGAGTGCGAGAGAGATCCGCCAATCACGTCGGAAAATGGGGGCCCTTGACGTCACACTGCGGCCGGGGCCGGGGCCCTGACCTAGCCGGTCCGGCACTGTGAAGGAGCTTCGATGAGTAACTCCACTGTTTGTTTGCAGGTTCGACTGCGGCTCGGGACAGGGGGTGGTCCGCTCCGACGAGACGGTGCTGCTGAACCAGTGGAACCGGCTGTCCGTGCACCGCCACCGCTGGGACGCCACGCTGAGGCTCAACAACGGCAAGAGGGTGGCGGGCCGCTCCAAGGTAGGCCCGGGTTCGACTCCCGCCGTCGCGGCTGCCTTTGTTTTGGTTTTTCTTCGCTTTTGTCGTTGTTTGTGTTGCTGCTGTTATTCCGAAGCACACAGTGAGGCTGAAGACCGGTGGAGGCGGTCAAAATCCCAGACGCGTTTTGAGCAGCAGAGTCGCTAGAGGGGGCGCGAACCGAACGTGTGAACCCACCAATGGATTGCGCTCGGAACGAGGAATCCATTGGTGGGGTCACACGATCGCTTCGAGTCCTATTTAGCGACTCTGGAGCTCAAAACGCGTCTAGAGTTTTGGCCGCCCTCAGGTCTTCTGGCCCACTGTGAAGCGCCTTCTCGTCGCTCTGTCTCTGTCGCACTCACACGCCTTGACGCCTTCCTTCCAGGGCCTGTTCTCGCGGATCACCTTCCGCGAGCCGCTGTTCCTGGGCGGCGCGGGCAACACCACGGGGCTGGCGGGCAAGCTGCCCGCGGAGCGCGGCCTGCGAGGCTGCGTCCGCCACCTGGAGGTCAACGACCAGCTCTACGACTTCAGCGAGGACGCCATGCAGGGCTTCGACGTGGGTGAGTCTGTGCAAACATTGGCGCGCCGCCGCGCCGCAAGCCGCATCGGCGGTGGCGGTGGCAAGGTGGGGTGGGGCGCCGCCACCTGGCTGTCGCGCCACAGTGACTAGGGTCAGGGAGGGTTAAAAGCGACGACGAAAAAAAACAACTGCCGGCCGGTATTTGAACCCGGGACCTGACTGACTCGTTCCTCTCTGGCGGCCCACAGCGGAGTGCAGCTCGGACCGGTGCAGCAAGGTGCCCTGCATGCACGGCGGCAAGTGCGTGACGGCGGGCGAGCTCCACCTGCAGCAGGCCCAGCAGGCCCAGCAGGCCAACGCCAGCCTCGGGCAGCCCTCCGCGGTGTGCCTCTGCCCGCTGGGCTACTCCGGGGAGCTGTGTGAGACCAGGGTCGACCTCCTGGTAAGTGCCGCCCGGGGCCCCGAGCCGCCCCGAGCCGCCCCGAGCCCCGAGGACCCCCGGGGCGCTCCCAAGCCCCCGAGGCCCCCGGGGAGAGAGACAGCAACAGCGACTCTGACTTATTAATTTTTTTCCGCCAGGTCCCCTCGTTCAACGGGTCCAGCTTCCTGCGCTACCCGGGCCTCGGCGACACGGCGCTGTCGTGGCTCGACCTGCAGCTCACGCTCAAGCCCACGGCCGCCAACGGCCTCGTCATGTACAACGGGCACCGCTCGGACGGCGTGGGCGACTTCATGGCGCTCTACATGGTGGACAGGCACATCGAGTTCAGCTTCGACCTGGGCTCGGGGCCCGCCACCGTGCGGTGAGTGGGAGACACGGGGCGACGGGTCGCTGGTTCGAACCCACTCGCTTTTATTTTTTTCCCTTTTTCGCGCTCCCGGTGCTCGGAAGCGCGCATCTATCTCCCAGGCGGCACGGCGGCGTCACACAGTGGGCCAGAAGCCGGTGGAGGCGGCCAAAACTCTAAAAGCGTTTTGAGCTCTAGAGTCGCTAAGCAGGACTCGAACGGAACGTGTGACCCCACCAATGGATTGCTCTCCGAACGAGGAATCCATTGGTGGGGTCACACGTTCGGTTCGAGCCCTGTTTAGCGACTTTGCAGCTCAAAAGGCGTCTAGAGTTTTGGCCGCCTCTACCGGTCTTCTGGCCCACTGTGCGTCACAGTCACAGGCGCCGCCGAGCCAGCCGAGGCAGCCGAGGCAAGGACGCCCTAACGATGACGTGCCTCTCGATACCGTCACTCCGCTTCCCACAACGGGGGGATGGAGGGGGGGGTGGTTCAGAGACCGGGGCGAGATTAGCCGTGGGGATTAAGGTAAGGCGGGGCCGCGGAGCGCCACGATTGGCATTAGAAAGAGGCCGAGGTAGTTGGACGCCCCGCCCCGCCCCGCCCCGCCCCGCCCCGCCCCGCCCCGCCCGCCCACCACCTCTCCTAGTCCGAGGGGACGCTGGAGATCTTGGCAGCCAATTGTGAGTGGTTAATGAGGATCATCGTCTCGCCCAGCCGCCCAGCCGATGAGGCGTCTGTTTTCCTTCATCTCTCCCACTCCCTCTCCCTCCCCCTCTCTCTCTCTCTCTCTCTCTCTCTCTCTCTCTCTCTCTCTCTCTCTCTCTCTCTCTCCCACCCCCCTCCTGGTCGCGGTGAAGTTGGCTTTTCCCATTCCGCTCGCCCTCCCTCGGAAAAAGAGAAGAAAAGTGGAGAGCAGGTTCATGTATTATTTTCTCTGTGTGTGTGAGGAAAGGGGGGAGGGGGAGGTTGGAGCCGTGGCCCGGAAGCAGTGTCTCTGCCATATCTTTTTAGCGGGCCGTCATTCGAAACGAAAACTCGATAACAGGTTCACTGGCCAGCCCGGGGCGTACCGTGCCGGCACTAGGGTCCTGGGGCGGGGCGGGGCGGGTGGGGCGGGGTGGGGCGGGGTGGGGCGGCCGGTGTAGCCAACTGCACCGGTCGGACAGACGTACTACTACAACAGCCAGCCGGGGAAGGGGGAAGCTCTACACGGCGAAATCCATCGCATTGCACGCGCCACGCCGCCGCGCCGCTACGGTGTAGTAGCCACGACGTGCGTCGCCATGGCAACGGGGTGCCGGGAGGGCCGGGCCGCGGCGGGCCCTCTTTGCGGACTAGGGGCTCGCACCTGAGCCCCCGCTTGCACAGTGTGCACAGTATGCACAGGCCCCTTGGTTGGCAAAACAGTGGCCAAGGGCAGCCAAGGGTAGCGGCGGCAGGGCTGCCAACCTAAACGAGCGCACCGGCCGGCCGGCGTAACTCCCAGGGGCTGCATGAAAACAAAGATTGCCAACTTGACAAAAAAAAGTTAAATTAATGGTCCATGTTGCATAAACTGTTAGCGTTGCAAGCGTGAAGTGGTAACAAAATTCGGAAATTCGACTTGTAAAATGAAGTCTCCTTTTGCACGGCGTTAGCAACGCGCGCCGTTTGCGGGGTAGTGGGTAGTGTAACTCGAGGTTTGAAGCTTTGCCAAGTCAGCGACACTGTTTGAGAACAACTCCTGGGTGTCCCCATTCCGATGCCTGTGCATACTGCAGGCAGCTATAGCCGGTCCCAGCCAACTGCAGCCCACTGCAGCCCACACTGGATGTCCAATGTCGATGCGAAACCGGGCGGCCCGGAACAGAGCGGAAACGGGACCACACTGTTCGCTGGCCTCTGTCAGAATGAAGGGTAAAGGATCTCGCCATGCCGTCAACGCCCAGCCAACGGCCGCGTGGGGGCGGAGGGGGGGGGCGCTTTTTGCATCGTTTCGAACTTTGTTTCCGGGTTCAAGTTTCAAGTGCGTTTGTGTGGTAATGGCGGAATGCACAGAAGCACGTTTTCCACTTTTTCCCTCCTCCTCTCTCTCTCTCTCTCTCTCTCTCTCTCTCTCTCTCTCTCTCTCTCTCTCTCTCTCTCTCTCTCTCTCTCTCTCTCTCTTTTTCTTCCTTCCTATTTATCATCACCCTCTCTCCCTCTCTCCCCGCCTTGCGCTCTGATAATGACTTTAACGGAGACGGACTACCCGACGCGGACGTGCGGCGAATGGGTAGCGAGTCTCTCAGCCCTTCTGTTTTCTCTCTTTCTCCCTCTCTCCCTCGTCCTCTCCCTCTCTCTCTCCCACCATCCCTCTCTCTATTTTCTCGAGATCTAGATCACCCGCTGATCGCCAAAAAGGAGGAGGAAGCATCGATGCACGCAGGGAGCTTTGTCTTAGCGGCGGAAAGAAGGAGAAATGAGGGAAGGGAGGCGAACCTGACTACGGCCCGATGGCCTGGAGGCCGCCCGGAGCCCCTGGAGCCCCTGGAGCCTGGAGGCACACGGGAATATCGACAGATGAAAAGACAAAGACAGCGAACAAAGGACAGAGGCGGGCCGACGTCAGGGCGCGGCGATGGACATCGGGGCAACCTTTTAAAAACGGGAAAAAGGCAAGAAAATGGGGAATCTGCTGGGCGGACTGAAAGCCGGCAGGGTCGCCTGTCAAAGTCCCTAGTGGACTGGCTGGCTGGCTGGCTGGCTGGCTGGCTGGCTGGGTCAGCCGTTAACCTGGCCTGGTCTGGCCTCGACTCTCGGACATGGACATGGGGTCGACCGGGGACGACAGCGGAGGGCGTCGAACGAGCCGAACGCCACAGAATGCAGTGCATGGCTCGCCTCGGCCTCGCCTCGACCTCGCCTCGACGGGACGCCGACGCCGCTCCGTGGTCGGATTCGAACCCACAACGGCGACCCTGCCAAGCGACCCCTGCATGCCCCTGCACCGTGCGGCTTTGTGCTCGTGTGTGTGTGTGTGTGTGTGTGAGCGCTATTGCCTTTGCGCGTGAGTACACCGGTGGCGAGTGTGTTGTGTGTGTGGCCGTGCGTGCGTGTGTGGAAGGCCTTTGGGGGTGCTTGGAGGAGGACAGGATGCCCCTTCCCCTCCCCTCCCCTCCCCTCCCCTCCGGCCTCTCTTAATCCAATCACAGTTATTGGCCAGACATTTCCTGGGCGGCCGCGGCCCCGCCCTGCCACGGCCCTGCCACGGCACTGCCATCCCTGCGGTGCTCCAGCCCGTATTTCTCTCCTTGTCCATCACCGTAATCGCGCGGGCTTACAACCCCTCCCCCTCCATCTCCCTCCCACACTCCCCCTGGGTACACTAAAGTTAAATACCGAGAGCACACGAGCCCCATTGGTCGCGGCTGCGGCCCCACCCTTCGCAATCAAACAACCTATACGGGAAAAAAATTCCGTCACCAACGGTCTGTCTCCAGTTTCGGATATTAAATTCTTTCTGATGACTGTTGCAGTACGTTAGTCCACCACCCCCACCCCGGAAAAAAACCGGCCACCGCCTTGCTGCTTAACAAAATATAAGCTGCCTCCTAAACTAAGGCAAAATCGTTAAGTTATTACTATACGGCTCCCTTGATGCCTGAAAGTGATCGCCGTTCACCTCCAAGAGGAGAATTTACTAGGCTGCCCCCTGGGGCGTGCGTGTGGCAGTGGGGTGGGGCATGGCGGGAAGGGGGGGGGGAGGGGGAGGGGGGCACTCCCCGCCCACCACGTTCGCGATGATACGCTGAAACCAAGGGGCGGAACCCAAACGGCCATCCGTCGTCGTGTTGCACACTGCCAAGCGAACGAGTTGTGCCGCTGCTCTGTCTCTCTCGCAGTCCTTAAGGGACGTTCCCATGAGTGCGAAAGAGAGGGAGGGGGGGGGGGAGAAGGAGAAAGAGAAAGAGAGAGGGGCGGGGCGACGAAACGACTCTTGTTCGGAATCAGTCTGCCGCTGCGTGCTGCCAAATGGATTAGCGTCCAGATTTCAATTATCGGATAGCAGCTGTTGTTGTGTGTGGCCAGGCCGGCCAGGCCCGGCGGCTCGCAGGAGTTTTCCGGTATAAACATGAAAAATGCAGTAGTAGAACGCGCGCTGTCCACGAGGCGGGGCGAGGCGGGGCGGGAAGCACTTGCGTGAGATTGGAATTTAGCGCGGGAAAATGCGTCCGCAAAATTGGGTTGGCCCGGCCGCACAAAACGACACAAAACGAGGGAGCGAAGATGGCGGCAACGCTCTCTCTCTCTCTCTCTCTCTCTCTCTCTCTCTCTCTCTCTCTCTCTCTCTCTCTCTCTCTCGCTCTCGCTCTCCGAGGCTCGGAGGCTGCTAATGGCGTTTTAATTTGGCCTTCTCTGCGAAATGGCGCCGCGCCCTGACTGGCTTTGTGTATTCTTTTGTCAATCTGACCGAGTCTGCCGAGTCGGAGTCGGAGCGAGACAGAAGCCAGGGCCCGAGCCAGGCCAGGGGTGGCGCTGAGCCGAGCCGAGCCGAGCCGAGCGGAGCACCGAGCGCGCCAAGCCGGAAACACCCTGCCGGGAATGTGACGTTCGGGCGAGGGGGCAAAAACTCGCGCAATCATGTGTACACGGCCCCCGAAATCACATGCGAATCATTGAGAATCACGCGAAATCAAGCAATTCGAAATCAGCCAAAATCACTAAAATCGACCGAAATTAGGCAGAATCACACGAAACCAGGCCAAATCAGTCCGAAATCATTTCTTTCCGAACACAATCACACGCAATCACGCTCAACATCACCCTGGTGCGTCGCGAAATAAGGCAAAATCAGCCATGAAATCAATTAAAACCATGCGCAATCATTGCGTTTTCCGAATCATGTGTACACGAAAATCCCGAGTGTTTGCCCCCTCGCGTTCGGGACTCTGTTTCCCGCGAGCGACTTGCAGTGCTCGCTGTCGCCGCCATGCAGGCCCGCAGAGTGACGCGTCACCCGGAACAGTCTGTCTCTCTCGCACGCCCTGGCCGTGCCGTAGCGGTGTGAGAGAGACAGACAGCGCAGCCGGCGGCGTGGCGGGGCGACGACATAACTCCGCCGCCCACACCACCACCACCGTTTTGCATGAGAAGAACATTCAGCGGCGAAACTTGTAGAATGAATGGAACGAGACATTCAGCGGGCCGTCCGTTGGCGGCGACCTCGTTACCGCCACCGTAATGACGCCCTGCTTGTGGTCCCCCAGGAGCTGGCGGCCGCTGTCGCTGGGCGAGTGGCACGACGTCCGGGTGTCGCGGACGGGCCGCCTGGCCGTGCTGCAGGTGGACGAGCACCCCCCCGCCCAGGTGGTGAGCCCCGGCGCCTTCCTGCAGCTGTCGCTGCCCCTCAGCCTGTACCTGGGCGGCGTGCCCGCCGTGCCCTCCTTCCACGCCGCCGCCACCAAGACCCGCGCCAAGGGCTCCTTCGTCGGCTGCATCCAGAAGGTGAGTCTTTGAAGGCGGTCGGGATTTTGTGTTACCGCGCTTTCGGGGATCCGGCAAGGAACTTAACATGCTGGGCTCGTGGGCAGAATTTTCGTGTGGGGAATGGATCCTTTGTCCAGTGGGTTGGTATAGAAAATGTATAAAAATTTATACGTAAAATGGGAGAAATGACGAGTGTGTGTATAGGATTCCGGTTTCGGGAAATGTTTGCTGAAAGTTTGAAATCCAAAATCCCGAATCGGATTTTCTTTCTCGGCTTAATTAAGCACGTGATTACTAGCGTCTCTCTCTCTCCCTCCCTCCCCCCGCGCGGCGAGTCGTGTGATCCGAGCCGCCCCCGCCGCCCCCGCCGCCCCCGCCGCCCCGCCGCCCCCGCAGCCCCGCAGGGTTTGCACCTCGGACAGCCAAACCCGATACACATGTGTGCGGAAGGGGAAAGGTACACGGGGCGGCCGCCGCGGCCGGGACGTGCCTCGGGTCCCAAATCTCGGCGTGCTTCGCCTGCTCCGCCACGGCCAGGCCGAGGGCCGGGCGTCGCCGCGTCGCCGTCAGTGCGCCAGCAGACTGACTCCGAGAGTCGTTTTCGTCGCTCCGTCTCTCTCGCACCCATACGGGACGCCCCGGGAGTGCGACAGAGACAGAGCGACGAACACGGCTCTCGGAGTCAGTCTGGCGGACCCGCACAGTGGGCCAGAAGACCGGTGGAGGCGGCCAAAACTCTCGACGCGTTTTGAGCTCCAGAGTCGCTAAATGGGACTCGAACCGAACGTGTGACCCCACCAATGGATTCCTCGTTCGGAGAGCAATCCATTGGTGGGGTCACACGTTCGGTTCGAGACCCATTTAGCGACTCTGGAGCTCAAAACGCGTCTAGAGTTTTGGCCGCCTCCACCGACTTCTGGCCCACTGTGGACCGCCGCCGCCGCGTCGAGGAGGCGGAGTAGAGCAAGACGGCGGCGGTCCGCGTCCGCCAGGAATCTCATAATGCCGAGGCCGCCGCGCGAGATTGGCACGGCGAGGCGCGGCAGGCCGTCTCTCTCGCACTCACGGCGCGCCCCCCGCGCCGCGCACGGGTGCGAGAGAGACGGCGATACCGCTCCGAGTCAGCCCGGCGTCGTGAAAACCAAGGAAGCAATCCGCGCATTGCTCACATGCTGCCGGCTACAGTGTAGGGGCGGGGCACTGCGGGGCACTGCGGGGAGGAGGCAGATGAGGGGGCGGGGTTGTTCTCGGAAAGGATTTCAGGTCGCGCGCCGCGGAGGTGTTGCGGCGCCGTGCTGTGGGGATGAGCTTTTGGGGAGGGGGCTGCGAGTGCTGGCGCGGCTGGCACACTAAAAGCGTATCGTCGTTGGCGCGTCGAAAAGAACTTGCTCGGCGGTGACGTCATGACGCCATGACGCGATCCGCAGAGCAGTAATGCTGGCGAGGAGTGCAGCGTCTGTCTCTCTCGCACGTATACGGAGCGCAACATGAGTGCGAGAGAGACAGACCGACGGAAGCATAGCCTGCTGGCTGTCGCCGGCTGCTCGCTGTGACACTTTGAAGGCTTTCTCTTTGCCGTCGCCGCGGTCGCCCCGCGAGACACTCTGACGTTTTCGCCAATGCTGCTGCAGGTGCTGGTGAACGAGAAGCCCCTCCACCTGCTGGCCAGCGCCCTGGCCGGCGTCAACGTGGACAACTGCGCGCACCCGTGCGCGGCGCGGCCGTGCGGCGCGCAGGGCCAGTGCGTGCCGCAGCGGGACTACTTCAGCTGCCTGTGCCCCGGCATGGCGGAGAGCCTGGAGCCGGGCCTGGAGTGCCCGACGCACGCCGAGGGCGCCGCCAAGGAGGCCGCCAAGGAGGCCGTCAAGGCCGCCGCCAAGGCCGTCGCCAGGGGCGCCGTCAAGAAGGCCGTCAAGGCTGCCCCCCACGACGTGGAGCCCATGGCCGAGGTGGGCGCCACGGTGACGGCCACCACGACCCCCGCCGCCCCGAAGCACCCCGACGAGCACCGCGACGAGCACCGCGTCTCTGCCGGCTTCAAGGCGGTCGGCTTCATGCACTTCGTCGACGCCGACACCGTGCGCAGGTAAGTCGTCGAGCCGCGGGTTCGAACCACAACACCGCGGCGCACCGCAACCAGGTCCTTGTTCGTGTCTTTTTCCCAGCGTTTTTTTTTTTTGCCGCCGCGTTACGAGCAGCAGTACCATCGCGGCACCGCGGCCGGCTGGAGTGGATAGCACTGCAGTCAAGGAGGACGCATGAATTATTTACGGCCGCGTTGTAGGGCGCGGCGTGGCGTGGCGTGGCGTGGCGGCGGCTGGCCGGTAACGAGTTCCAATAATATTCGCCCCTCTCTCTCTCGCTCTCCTCGCCTTCATTACCGCGGGCGCAACGCGTTCTGCAACTTTCAATCCGAAACCGCGAGGCGGGGCGGGGCGCGGCGCGGCGGGGCGAGCTGGGCCTCGGTGGCGTCAAGGGCCGCGGGGGAAAGTTGAAGGAAATAAGGCAGCCGCGCCGCGCGAGTTTGGCAGGAAACGCTCTGGCTTGGCTGGGCTGCGCGCGTGGTTACGGCTGGGATACGTGAAGTGGGCCGGGGCGGGGCGGGGCAGGGCGGGGGAGCGTATTAATTAGAGTCCTTTGGAGCCTCGGCGGAGACACTGCACCTGCAGGAGGAGGAGCCCGCCCTCGCCCTGCCCCGCGCCGCCCCGAGGCTCAACTCGAATCAAAGCCTCGCCCCGGCTTCGCCTCCCCCCCCCCTCCCCCTCCCCCCTCCCCCTTCCACCCCTTCCCCTTCCCGGCGAGCAGGTCGCGTGCGAGGCGCTGAATCGCCTGAATCGTCGCGCACTTAATTTCGCGAAATTGCCTCCGTTTCCCTTCCCGCCTTTGGCTGGCGGGCTGGCTGCCGACTGATTCCGAGAGTCGCTTTCGTCGCTCTGTCTCTCTCACGCCTAGACGGGACGCCCCATGAGTGCGAGAGAGACGGAGCGACGAAAGCGACTCTCGGAATCAGTGTGCTGGCCCTCCCAAGTGCCACAGCGGGCCGCCGAAAAATGGGTATAAACGGAGTGCGGCCCTCGGCCAGGCCCGCCAGGCTCGGCCGACCCTTTGGCGCACTTCCGGTTGCAGCCCCCCGGGGGAGGGGGAGGGGGGGGCTTGTTAAAAAGAGAGGGCGGTGGGCGATCGTCCAGCGTGTGGGCTAAGCCAGGCGCGGCGGGTGGGGGTGGGCGGGGTGTGGCGGGGCGGGGCGGGGCGGGCGGGCGGGGCGGGGCGCTCCTGGATCGATGCGCCACGGCTGTCTTGCCGTGACCCGCCGCCTTACGCCGGGACCGACCCGACCCTCCACGCGACCCTTCGTGCGACCCTTTTGCCCTACCCTTTATCGTAACCTTTGGCCGACCCCTTTCGGCGCTCGTTAGCGGACGCGTTTCGCGTACAACCCGTTTCCGCGTCTCTCCTCCTCCGACCCTTTCCTACCCACTGCCTGCCCTACCCCTTTCCCGACCCGTCTCCGCATACCCCTTTCGACCCTTCTCGTCGATATCCCCTCGCAACCCTTCCACCTGCAGTCATCGCGGTGACACTACTGTGAGCCAAAGTCCTACGCAAACGCACCACTTTCCCCCCCCTTTTTTTACGTTTCTGTTGCATTTTTATTCTGGTATTCGGTGCGGTGAAAGCGGTTGTCCTGTTCACCGACCTTGCGCTCGCCCAAAGGCGCACTTCACCTGCTTGTACGCCAAACGCACACAAAGAGCAGCGTGGCCGTGCTCACTTTTTTTTCCACGTCATTTATTTTTATTTTCCTTTTTTTAAAATTATTTTCGGTCAAATCTCTTTGAATGACTGCTCTGCCCTCCGCGCCCCATTGAGAGGCCGCATCGCATCGCCGCATCCATGGCGCGTGTGCGTCCATGCGTACGCCCGCTCATCCGCTTGGCTCGCCGAGTGCACAGTGTGCACACACTCGGGGCCTCCAAACGCAGCCCAGCCAGTTTCATAAACTCGCCCCGCCGACCGCCGCGCCACCCGCCCCCCACTCGCGGAGCCAGAGCCCGGCACGATAAAACCTCGCAATGCACACCCAAAGTTTTTCATTCGATCGCCCGCCGTGTGTGTGCCGTGCGCGTCGTGAGTGAGTGTGAGTGCGCAGGTGAGAGGGTGCGATAGTGTGCGTGTGTGTGTGCGTGATAGACAGAGAGAGGGGGTGGGGCCCCGCCAGGGAGACAGCGACGTAGACCGCTCCATCCTGCCGCCGCCGCCCGCCGACGCGAGGGTAGGCAACCCGCGGGCAGCCGTGTTGACCGTGCTGCCTATCCTCGCTGCGGCAGGCGGCCCGGTGATAGAACTCGAGTTGACGGGGCCTTCTTGGTGTGCCGCAGGTCGACCAGCGACCAGCTGCGCGTCAACCTCCGCCTGCGCACCACGGCCAGCTCGGGGCTGGTGCTGTGGACGGGCCGTCGGCGCGAGGACGACGACGAGGAGGTGCAGGCGGTGCACCAGCGCCACGGCGTGCACCCGTCCTTCGGCAACGACTTCCTGGCCCTGGCCGTGCAGGACGGCTTCGTGCACCTGCGGCTGGACCTCGGCTCGGGCGAGTTGTTCCTCGGCTACAACCTGACGAGGGTGGACGACGGCCAGTGGCACCGCGTCGTGGTGGTGCGGCGCGGCCAGGACGCCACCATCAGCGTGGACAACGGGCCGGGGCTGGGCCGGACGGCGCCCGGCCGCCTGCGCCAGCTCAACACCAACACGGGCCTCTACGTCGGTGAGTCGCCGCGCACAGTGGGCCAGAAGACCGGTGGAGGCGGCCAAAACTCTAGACGCGTTTTGAGCTCCAGAATCGCTAAATGGGACTCGAACCGAACGTGACCCCACCAATGGACTCCTCGTTCGGAGAGCAATCCATTGGTGGGGTCACACGTTCGGTTCGAGTCCCATTTAGCGACTCTGGAGCTCAAAACGCGCCTAGAGTTTTGGCCGCCTCCACCGGTCTTCTGGCCCACTGTGCCGCGCCTCGCCCTTGAACACGCCGCCGGGCCGCTGGGAGCCGTTCCAGTTCTCACACTTGTTTGTCTGCCGCAGGCGGCGTGCCGGACCCTGCGCGGTCGACGCGGGGCCGCTACTCCGCGGGGCTGGACGGCTGCGTCGCCGACCTGGTGCTCGACGAGGACCACGCCGTCCGCCTGGACTCGCCGTCGGGGGAGTCGGCCAACGTGGCGGCGTGCGGCTGAGCCAGCCGGAGCGCGCGTGGCCCGGACGCCGGACACGGCGCCGCTTAGGCCGCCCCGCCCCGCCGCTGCTCCCCGTGTCAATTACCGGAAGTGGGGCACCCCGCCCCGCCCCGCCCCGCCCCGCCCCGTGGACCGCACTTGTGGACTGACTTGAACCGAACCGTGTCGAGTTTTCTTCTCTACGTAGCGCTTAGACTTCTCGCTGGCGCGAGCCCTAGTGTTTCATGCCGCCTTCTATGGTCGGCGCGGCCGAAGCTGAAGCTGCGACTCCGGCCCCGCTCGGAGGGCCTGGAGGCCCGGGGGACCGAAGCGCGGACCATCCACGGCGGACTGGCGCGACTTCGACACCGACATCGACGAGCAATCGACTCAAGCGGAAGGAGTGTCATCGATTAGTTTAAACCATATCACGAAAAAGATAGACTAGTTGATGCAGAAAAATGTTGACTAAAGCGGCGCGAGTGAAGAATTTTAGTTGAGGCAGCTGATGATATGGACCGGGCCAGTCAATGCTCGCCAACTCCAGCTGGGTGCTGGGGAAGTAAAACCACTCTGGAGCCCTCCCCACCTGATCCCTGAATTAAGCTGGCCTAGTCAGTTATCAGGGGCCCTAAGTCAAATTCTTCATTGGCGCCATTTTAGCTGTACGAACACGAACCAATCCTTTTTAGAGGTCTCGTGGTGTTTGTTTGGGGTTCCCTGTTCCAACGCGGGGCTGTGGGTGAGGCTCTGCATTCGCCCTCGCCACCGTGCCCCCCGCGAGCAGGCCAAACCTCGCTCGCCTCGCGGTGCTCGCGGACAGCGCCGGGCGGGGCCGCCAGGCCTTACGCCAGGCCGCCAGCGCGCCAGCCACCCTATTAAGACTGAAAAAAGTTAATGAAACACTATGGCCTTCTCGTCTCCACTCGTACCTAAGGGAACCTAAGGGAAGGGAAAGGGGCGCCGCAACCCGCAAGGCCCGCAAGCCGCAAGGGCGGGGCGCTGGCAGCCAGGCAGTCAATTTTCCCATTTTAATTTCGACCTTGTTGTTGGCGCCTAAGTTTTCTATCGGACACGAGCAGAGCCTCGGGTTTCACAGCTATGGTGCCCTTTTGTTGAGTCTATCCTTTTTGTTGTTGGTGACTGCAGAAATTTGTATGTCTTTGTCAATTTTTTTGAAAGAATCTAGCATATCCTCTGGGTGTATGTATACTGGAGTTCGGCCCACCTGGAGTTTACCCGCTTCGTCAATGAAAAATGAATGACGGTGTGATGACGTGGAGTGAGGAGGACTGGCAGGCAGGCCATTGAGGGAAGTACCGGAAGCATGAGAGAGAGAGTGTGTGTGAGAGAGATAGTGGTTCGAGAAGTGGCCCGCCGCAGTCGCAAATCTCCCTCGACACCCTCTGCATTTGTGTGTTGGCATTCGGAACACTTGATTTAAGAAGGACGTTCCGGTACGCGTCGGTTATGTCTGGGATCAACTCGCAGTTGTAGTAAAACGAAGAGGAGGGAGCCATGTCCTCATCCTAGAATGCATGGGGTAATGCAATATCTGTTAAAGCTGTACACAAATTAAGATTTTTTTAAAGTTTTTTTTTTTTAATTTTTAAAAATTAGGCTTGAAATTGATTGAGAGGGTACCTCTTCAATAGTGTGGACATTTATCTGAGTTTTAAATAAATTTAGTTGGGTGCGTCTTTGAACTCACCTTCAATAACTCATTTGAAAGGAGGGGAAGGGGTAAATTTGTTTAAATTGTCTCTTCTGGCTCAAAAGTGAGCTCTTCACTACAATACGCACATTTTTCAATAAATGTTGATATTGGTTCATCACATCACTAATCATCCTATAATCATGGCCATATCTTTCGTGACATTTCATTTTATCTTCGGATATCCCTCTCTACACCGTACTCCAATTTGTATTACGCTGTGTGCACATGAGACTATCATCGAGCCCTCATAAGCACATGTTTGACTGACCTATCTATGAGATACATTCTTTTTAAGGCATGTATCCTATTTGTTCTTTAAGTATCAAAAATGTGATTAAGACCATTCTTTATGTAGTCATTTTGCTTCACTGCAAAATTACAAATAAGAAATTGTGAAAAAGATTATGGTAGGGAAATGTGCCCAGCACATTTTGAGCCTGTTATTGGCCTGATAGTGTTTGCATTATACGTCCTGAGAGTCCTACTCATAAGGGAATTGTGGCTCTTAAAATTAATAATTTAATAACTAAAACCCAACGATTTTCACAAACTTGAGTTTTGTCATAGAACTTTCCGTTAAATATGTTGTAGCATTAAATTGTAGGCCTCTGGAAGCATTTATTTTCTCTATCTCATATTTTATCAGAGACTTCAACTTTAATGTGTATATTTAAGAAGAGTAGACATATCTTCGTCTGCTTTCTCTTCCATTTAATTTGAGAGGCGTACGAAATACATTTATAATTCATTGGAAAAGTGGATTTGATAGCTGTCTTAAATCTGTTAATTAAGAGAGACATAGATGTGTATGAAAGCTTTATAAATAGACTTAGATGCTATGTTAGTTTTGTAATTGAGATATTCTTCACTAATACTACAACAGCAAATTGGAATGTAGCGATATTTACATATCATACAATTAATAGAAAAGTCAGCTTGCTACTTGATATCTTCTGTTTCCACTGTCACCACCATCAGCACCACTACAATGAGGAGTGAGAATATTTTACCGGATATCTGTTGTTGTTTAATGTGTATCTGAGTGTTGCCACAGTAGCATGTTGCTAAAAAAAAGTTAACTTCTGTTGTGCTTTTCTTGTTAGAAATTCTGTTGGTTTTACAAGACCTCGTCCATGTACAGCACGGCCTACATCAATAAAGATGAGTTCAGCCAGAAGTAACTTCCTTCAATTCAAATTCAAGACAAAAAGTATCCATATAAACCATTTTACTCTGCATGAAAAACCTACAGAACATAAACAAGAAAACAGCATTGTGGTTAACAAGGCATAAAAAATAGTAATTATAGTACAAGACCCTTCCATGCCCTTCAATATATCATTCCCATCATGTGTTCTCAGCATTATTATCTTATATAATGATTGCGGATCCTTTTCTTAAGTTTCACACAATGTACAACACGCTCTCTTGCCTCCAACCTTGTACATAATTTATCACATTTATCACAAATGTAAAAAAATTAATTTTATCAGTTTATCAAATAATCATACAGTGTTGTTTATTAAAATCAACAGAGAACATAAGAACAGAGTTCTAATGAGAACTGAGTTCTGATAATGTCCCATCTACCCATGATCATATATCACATCAAATCTTTTCAGTTTGAGAGTTGCAATTTGGATACACAAGAAATGCTGAAGTTTTTGTTTGAGACTAAACACCACGTCTCAATATCCAATGTCTAAAAGTTCATTTCTGCTCTCCTCAAAGCTGAAAATTTATTATTGGTCCAAAGAATTGAATCTTCATCCTCATTACGATCTGACTCCGAAGAACTTTCATTAGAATTTCCCTCTTTGGCACCTGATAACTGCTTGCCAGAGACACCTCCATACTTTGGGGCCTCCTCAGCCACATCAGCATTTTCTTTCTGATCGGTGCAATCCAGGGAAGCTTTCTTGAGCCTTTCCGTCTAAAAAAAGAATGTGTATCAAACCACAAAACTCAGATGATAATCAAATCACAATCTTGAACGTTATGAAGAAGGAAATATTCACCAGTTCTCCAACTCCATTGGTGCGCTGTTCAACAATATTTGCAGCAGATGCAAGCAAAGCCTTTTCTCTTGTTCTGTAGTCTCTGAGATGCAGGCGTTCGTTGATATGAAGAGGTGTATGTTCCTCAATCAGAACAAGAAGAATGCGCGCAATGTTACGGGCATCATCTAAACCACAGTGAGGCCGCCCCTCAAATTCCATACCAAGAGTTTCTAGCATGCCTTTCAAATTGTAATGCTGGAAAGGGAAGGAATATTAATTCGACTAGATGCAGCTCTTTAAATCCATAAGTTTAAAAAAATGTGAGCTACCATTTTCTTTTTGTAGTAGTTGCGAAAAGCTTTCCGGATATTAAGCCATCTCTTGGCCCATGAAGGATACTCAACTCCAGCAACCTTACCAAACAAATGAACAGGTCTTAAAAGTCACTTAATCAGAGAAACAGAAAAATAATTTATTAAAGCCAGCAAAATAAATACCTTGCATTGACCATGGAAAAACTGAGCCATATCCCAAGGGCCATCTGTCACTATGATGCATTTATGTTGGGAACGCAAACCATGTTGAGCCATCCACTCCTCAAATTTCTTCAGCACTACAGGAAATGTGTCAGCTGCATCAACTGTCGCCTATTTAAATTAAACAAAGAAACGAGCTTAGTGTGAAATTAAACCAAAACCAGAAAAGATAAATTTCAATAGTCCTAAAATGTGAATATCCAATTAATACCTGAGTTATGCCAGTAAGCTCGACACAAAAATCAGATAATGTTGGATTGATTTCTGGCCTCACATAGGACTGAAATGTGTCAACAATAGCTTTGCTTCTTGAACTGACAAGAATTGCAGGAAATTCGATGATCTCATGGCTGAAATGAGACATACCATTCAAACATTCAATTTTTAATCACTCACAATATGACCATGAGAAAGGGTGCCCTTTCTCATGATATGACACATTATTGAAACCGATCCTTGAAGTACTCACGGATAATCTGGGGCATTAACGGTGTTGCATGTTGCCTCAAAGTCTAGCACCAAATAGTATGGAGCATATTTTACAGCAGGCAAAACGTTGACAGAGGACAATTTTTGGATCCGATAATAGTTTTTGAGACGTTTCACAAGGACATCTCTGTTTCCACCGGTGTGCAAATTGTTCTGATTCAAGTTTGTGACAAGCTCTCCTCTGGACATTTGATGCACCTTGCCAAAGAGTAGAGTGAGTGATTTGACAAGTTCCCTTTTTTCATCATCCTTCAAATCACTTTTGGCTAGGTCATTATACTAGAATAAGGTGGGAAATACAAATGTTAGCAGGTAAAAGAAAATAGGTATAAGTCTTAGCTTATTGTCAAATTGACATACCCAACTACTCCAGTTGTTTGGCTCCATCATGAAATATGAATCAATAGTGGGCTCATAGATGAAGTAATCTGTCCCTGTACGCACTATTTACTTTGCATTATGTCCAAGAGAAAATGAAATGACCCAATACTTATGGCGCGACACATTTGACAGCAACTAGTGGTGTCCTGTTGGAAACACAATGCTTCGAGCCAGCCGCAAATCACTGCAGTCAATCATAACTATTTAATTGCAAACACAACAAGGGTGACAAGTAAAGTCTCAACACCAAGGTTTTCAAAGGAAACATAGGTTATGTTCGCGTTTTCAACCGGGAACTTGAGGAGGGGAGGAGTGGGGGAATCTGGTTCGGGTCTCGCAGGGGTTCGCGAGAGACGTTCGGATCTTCGGGTCACTTCGGGGCCCCCCTCCAACACACTAGTTATGCCGAGTGTCAGATCCGTCGGGATGAGAGTAGCCGTCTGTGTATTTACCAATTCCACAATGGCGATGTGTTCACCTGAAACATCTGAGTGAAAACACACAGAAACCCTTTATCAGTGGCCTGTGTGTGAACGTTGCATGCGATTGGCATGCTCTCTCGTCATGTCCTGCGTCCCCCCTGATTATTAAATGATGTAAGTTGGCTGGCGTTGCGTGGCAAGATGTTAACCTTTTATTACGCTGCGTTGTCTTAAACCCAAAGTTCCCTCTGGAATTGGTGGACAGGACAATTTTGTGGTTGCACACTTTGCGGGGTTCCGAAACGGTCTTCGTACTGTCACTGTCAATAACCTCTCGCTTGACGTTTATCAGATGGTGTCATGACTCACGATCACTCCCATTCTGGCCTGCCCAGTCATGTCATTCATCTTGTCATTTATTTACACTGTGACTTATCCCAAAATGATTATCCGTGTCAAATTAGATAGGGAATTCCCTCTGATAGCCTATCACTATATGCCAGCAGCTCAACATTATATATTATTTATTGTCCTGCTTGCAGGAGCTCCGCAATTAAACCCCAAACCGTAACAATGGAGGAGTACGAACTTATGAAAGATTCAAAATACAGGGTGTAAGTAGCTCGTCTAATTTCTTACTGCCTAACATTATTTTATATTTTTCTAATTTACTCCTACATTTGTGTCTTTTTGATTTCCATCAGGTATGTTTCTGCTGTGGATAAAGCCCTCAAAAATTTTGAATATACGAGTGAATGGGCAGATCTCATATCAGCCTTAGGAAAGCTTAATAAGGTACCACTGTTCTGTTAATTTTAAAGTAAAAACATTAAATTAAGTGAAATTGAACCATGACCATCTGACCTAATTGTTTTAACCATTACAGGTGCTTTCAAGTCATATGAAGTTTCAAGTCATTCCACGCCGAATCAAAATAAGTAAACGATTAGCTCAATGTATGCATCCGGCACTTCCATCTGGAGTCCATTTGAAAGCATTGGAAACATATGACATAATATTCAAATGTATGGGCACCAGCAGACTTAGTCATGAACTCTTTATATACAGTGCTGGTAGGTTTCTTGTTTGATGTTCAAATCATAGGATGCATATTATGATGAATTGGTGCTCATTCTTTGCATTTTTCAGGCCTTTTCCCTCTCTTGGGGCATGCAGCAATGAACGTAAGACCATCATTGCTAACTGTGTATGAAACTCATTTTGTGCCACTTGGTGAAAGGTTGTGTCCTGCCTTGAGTGGTTTCCTAAGCGGAGTTTTACCAGGCTTGGAGGAAGGCTCTGATCACTTTGACAGGACTAACAGCCTCTTGGAGAAAGTTTGTGATGGAGTTGGTGCTGGTCGTTTCTACACATGCCTTTGGGACTGTCTGTCATGTAATTCCATCATAAGACTACCTGCTACTTGTTTCATACTTGCCCACTTCAATAGAAAAATAACTATGGAAGATCAGCTCCATATAATGGGTACTGATATTGATGTCATGGTGAATGGACTCTGTACCGCTGTTCTGGACAGCAGCGTCCTGGTTCAGCGTAGTGCTCTAGATTTACTTCTTGTTGGTTTTCCCCTTCACAATAGTCAGTTGGTAAGGTCCGACATGATAAGGCTTGTTACAGCATCTTTGAATACTATCCTTCGGCGAGACATGTCTCTGAACAGGTGGGTGCTCAGTCCGATCACTTTCTGCTCATTGTTTTGTTCCCTACCTTAAAACCATCTCTTTTATAGACGACTGTTTGCTTGGCTGCTCGGTTCCGAAGTAAATTTATCTCTTTTGAGTCCGGATCATCCTCTTGTCAAATCACCAGCTGTGTCATATTTCCAAGTGTTTTCTCAAGAAATGCTAGTGCAGGTATTTAAAATGCTTACTACCACACTGATTTTATTGAAAAAAAAAAAAAAAAAAAGACGACTCTAGACAATTTTGTTTTTATAATGTGCCTTAATGGTTTTTTTTTTTTTAGGCCATCCGAACATCTTTGAATCAAGTTCTTGCGGACACACCCCATGATCTGAAACCATTCCGAATACTTGTATCTCTACTTGACAAGCCCGAGATTGGGCCAATAATTTTAGATCATATTTTGTATGAAGTGTTCAGGTAAAATTTATACTCTTTGTTGCAATTGCATCATTCTGTCCATTGTTTCTTTTCACAAATCTGTCTTTTTTCTATTCTAGAACTTTGTACTTGGCATCATTGGAAACAAAAACTCATTCAAAATCAAAGGAGCTCCACCGTACCACGTATGTTTATTTGTGTTTTTTTTTTTTTAATTTTACTTTATTTCATTACAAAAATATTAACACAGCTTTGTTGGCTTCAGATCCCATCCTGCAGGAAACCAGGAGCTTTTTAAATCTGTCAACTTGCTTTTTAGTTCTTTAGAACCAGCCTACATATGGCAATATGCTGGCTCGTTGGTAGAAAAAGCCTGTCGTTTGCACCACGATGCTATGGTAGCAGGTTTGGATGGGCAAGATGATGACCTTGTTGATTCTGTTAGACCTGTTGGCTCTGGTCAACCATGCCTAATTGAGGTTTGTATTTACCCCAATATTGTTGTTGTTGTTGTTGTGATTATCCTCCATGATTGTTTGCATAATGTTCTGACTTCTCTAGGTCTTAATTTTTCTAATCCTTTTTGTATTTATTATTTAGGTCTGCCAGCTTGTGAGCTGTCTGCTTGATGCAGTTCCTTTGGAGTCTTACATAGATACTACTTTAGAGCATGTGCCCAACCTTTTTCTTCAAATTGTGAACCAGCTTTGTTCCCCTGATATCATCTTCACACCTCGTCAATTGGTTATGTGTCTTCAGCTCTGTTCAAAAGTCTTGTCTCGAGTTCAGCCGCAGCCATCCATGTCCAAAAGTAATGGATTTACTGATACTACACGGCCTCGATCAAAGACTGTCTCATTTGGTCAGAGACGAAATAGTGACAGTAGTCAAACTCTTGCTCTAGAGGGGAATGTGGAGAGACTAAAAGACCTGTCTCAAAGCGACCATCACCTAGAGGTGGATGTGAACCAGAAGATGGAAGTTTCCAACCGAAGCGCAAGTGTTGGTGCAAGGCTTGACTCTGATCAACCCATTAGTAATCAACTAAGCGACTCCAAAAGGCAGGCTGAGTGTGCCCCTGACGCTAAGTCTGAATGCCAGATGTTCACACCTAATCTTATTTTAGACGAATGTCGGAAACAATACCAAGAACTGTTTGTTGTGCTAATTACAAGCAGCAGAATGATAGAATGGCGTTCACATGACTTCAATGGGCTTTTCCAATGTCTTATGACAGAATCGTACTCTGAAGTTGAGAAGGATGACACATCAGGGCTGGAAAAGCTACTCAAAGCATGTCTCTCAAGTACAGAACCAGATTATCATTCCAATGAATGTCTCATGAAAACCGAACTTATACCCTTCAAATTCAACTCGTGGAAGGAGTCTGGAGTGCTTGACAAAGCAGCTCAACTTGAAGCCCAGTCAAGTGATTGGGAACAAGTGTTTTGTGCTGCATGCACTCTTCTTGTTGACTTGTCAACATTTCCATCTTTCTGTGCACCATCAAAGCCTTCAGTCCCATCAAGTACCCATGAGTTACCACCATGGTTGAAATTGCTCTCGGTTTGTTGCTGCTGGCTTGGACAATCACCCTCAATGCAGCTGGCAGCAGTTTCCACTTTATTAGACCTCATTGCAGTGGCTTCTAAAAGTATTAACTCGCAAGTTTCTATTTCTGAAAATTCTCAAGTTACCACAGTTGTGTTGACACCGTTACTTGCGCAAGATGAAGTGCAGACTCTAGAGAACTGCACATGTGTCATGCAGGTGGGTGGGTGCATGAGCTTCATGCTGCAGTCAAGTGTGCCTAAGGGCTATGTTTTTTGAAGAATAATTTGTGCCTTTTTTTCTTTAGGTCATTGCACATTGGCTGTGGCATCACTTGAGTGTCGGTGGTCCTTTAGAGGCTCGTTCTGTAGCTCTTCTACAGCAGCTCCATGACACTGTCACAATGGAGGACACAGTTGAAGCAACAATTGGAGAGTTTATCAGCCAGGATGATGCGGAGGCTCAGTTGAGAGGCTTCCAGTCTTTTGCGACCTTCTGGCATGCCTCGAGAGAAATCACCACCAAAGGGAGAAGGCTATTTCTGAAGTAAAGATCAATCCATGTTAAATTTGATTTCCTATTTACTTGTTAAGAATGTGTATGACAGTGCTGTTTGTTTGGTAGGTCCCTGTTGAGGATGCTGGACAACCTCGCCCTTCCCGACAGTAGCCCTCTGAAGTTGGTTGCTCAAGGATGGCTTCTCCACACACTTTTGCGAGGCGATGTACCTCGACTCCTGGATCCACTTCTTCTGCCGCTCCTCGCTCCATCAACGGCTCGTGTTTCAGTGCTTCGTGTTTCAATCCAGCACAGGAGCACTATTTTACCAAGTGAAGCTGATAAGGCTGAGGCAAGGATCTATGCCATCAGTTCTGAGGATGGCAATATCATTTATCATGTGTCTCCTGTGCAGTCATCAGGTGTGTAGACCTCTGTTTTTCTATAAGAAGTGTTTGTTTGCATTGTTTTGCATTAATTAGTCTTTCAATTTAAATCCTGGCAGATAAACATAAACATTCCCAGCAAAGTGATTCTGTAAGAGCAAGACGTATTTTCACTGTTGCAACTCTAGTAAGACACTGCACTTATGAGAGGGATGTTGCTAGTTTTGAATATTGTCCCTCTGGCTTGATGTCATGGGCAATACCGTCAGCACTAACTGGTAACTACACTGTGACTAACAATGACTGCGAGACTCCAACCAGTTTCAGCAGCAGTTCCAGTGACAGTTCCAGTGCCCCTGCTACTGCTAGTGTAAGCCTTAGTGAAGACCTATCAAGAAACATGGGCTCAATGAGATCAAATTCAAGGTTAGTTCTGTCGATCCGATTGTTTCCTTTTTATAACCCAGAATCTGATGTTTAAGAGGCTAACTCATGTTTAATTGTCGTAGGTCCTCTATCTATCCAAGTGGCGACTCCCTGGCCCCCTCCTCTAATGTAATAGTGCGAGTGGATGGTAGACTTGTTGTTGAGAACCCCATTCTGAAAAGTTTAAGCAGCGGTTTTGAAGAAGGTGAAGATGAGGACCTCTCAGACAAAGTGTAAGTGTTTTTAACTTGACATGTTTATGATAGATGTTCCAATTTGTCACATATTAATATTTTGGGTTATATTTTAGGTCCAATCCTGCTACTCGAGGCAACACTCCTGTTTTGAATTCAGTAGAAAACGAACTGGAGGAATCAGTTTCTGCAGAAGATTATTTCAGTAGAACTGGGTCTCGACCAAGGTCAAGAGCAGATTCTGCCGCTCCGTCAACTTCATCAATATTGACCAAGAGTGGAATGGACACGCTTCCTGTAGAGGTAAATTAAATCATCTTGCAGTGCTATCACACGAGTATTTTGTTGTTTGTTTTTTTTTTACTTGTACAGTTTGTTGTATCAAGTTTCCTGATTTGTAAAGAATTGTATTGGCACTCCCTTAATTTTTTTCAGGTGAAATATCCTGCTATTGACAAACGGAAGTCTTCGGCCGATCCACAGTCCCCTCTCTCACTTCATCCCCTTCATTCTCATATGCTACTTTACTGTGGTGTTTATGACTCTGCAAGGACTCTGTATTCCTTGCGAACTTTGCGTAATGCTCTGGCTGCTAATCCAAGAACATTTTTGTCTTGTGCTGCAACAACTGGTGTTGCAAGAACTTCTTCTGATCTCTTAAATCTCCTTTCAAGGTAATTTAATGTTGGAGCGCTGGAAAACTGAAAGCTGAAAACTGAAAGCATGAGTCTTGTGTTTTGTTTATGCGCTGTCTTTTGTGTTACAGGCATCGCAAATCTGCGTCAGGGAATAATTTCCATGGAGACCTTGGCGGTAGTGGCCGCAGTCATATGTATCTAGAAGTGCTACTCCTGACTTGTCTGTACTATATTCGGAGTTACTATCCCAGTCTAGGGCAGATGAGACTCACAAAGCAAGAAATAGAGGGAAATCAGCAAGTTCAAGTTACTAGTCTTGAACTTCTGACTCTAATATTTTCCGAATTGACCAGTATTGTTCGTGATAGTGGCAAAGGATTGGCAAACTATGTGGGTGATCTTTTGTCCCGGTGCAAGGTGCAAAAAGTTGTTCTTCATTGCCTTGTTGCAAGTGTTCATGATTCTGCCAATACAAGCCATCCTCGCCACAATCTCACCTTTACGGAAGAAATCATTCATTTCAATGACCCTGGACGCACTGAAAGTGATGTTCCCATCATGTCACCATTAGCAGAAGCATATCAAATCCAACTTCTAAAGTTTGTTCAATTCCTTTTGATTGCTCTTTACCTTGTATTTTTTTAAAGGCCTTCACACATGTACTATTTATTGTGCATTGTCCTCTTTTTCTAGGCTATTGTTGTCTCTCACTATACTGGAGCATCAAATTCAACACCAAAAAATTGAAGTCAGCTCCCAACAGAACACTCAGGCCAATGCTCCTTCTGCCTCGGCTCCAGCATCATTAAACAGCCCCTCTCAATCAAATGGGGATATTACTGTGTCGGCTGCTCAGAAAAACTCTGAACTGAAGTACATGGTTGGGCGACCTATACCTCAACAACCAATGTTTGTGGCTGCAATTTTAAGTGCCCTTCGAATGCAGGTTTGCTGATGGTCTTTAGAACACAGAGCATTTTAATGTAAATTACTTATCAATTATGCAATCAAATATTTTTTTTAGGGTCAACTGAGATGGCTACATCAACAATGGACCACACTAGTAACATGTTCATTACCATTCATGGGCCAGTCATTAGCCCATGTGGTTCTGTCTGTTGTACGCCAGCTTTGTGACAACTTGCGTGCTCTCGCACCACTGTATGCCAACACACTATCAACAAGGTGAATAATATTAATGCTTTTCTCACTGATTAAAGTATGGAAAACAAGTGCTTATAACTTCAATATCTTTAATCTTAAAACAAATCAATGCTATTTTCTTTTTTTCTTTCTGAATTTAGAGAAAGAAGTAATTTGAGACTGCCAGCAGACTACACGATTACTCAACTGGAAGCTCTTACAATTCTCTGTCACTATTGTTTATTGGACCGAAATCAGCAGTATGCTTTAAATCAGCCTCTGCTCAGTGCAAGTGCGGCCGGGTCATTATTCTCCTCTGGCAGTGGCTTCCACGGAATGGGACCCCCATCACAGGCGGCCCAAATTTTTAATAACCTTGTGCATGTCTTCATGACCACGCCACTGCATCAAGTAGGTTTACATGTTCTGTTTCATTTTTTCAGCAAGTTAGTGTTTTATCTATTATAACCATAATTTTTTACTTTAGGATGCAGCTCAAGAGAATGTGGAACCTCAGCTTGCAGCACGCAGAGCTTTGCTGTACAATTTACCTCAGATTATATCTAGCACCACTACTCTGTGGAAAGCTGTAACAGCTTGTTCAGAAAAGTAAGTTTTTTTGGTGCTAGGTAAAATAAACATATCAGATATGCATAGATGAGGGTGCATTTTACCATATCAATGACTGTTGCAGGGACTATGCTTCATGCAGTGTTGCAGGGAATGCAAGAATTGTTCGTCATTACTTGTTAGAATTCCTCAGTCCAATTTCATTGCATCATGCAACAAACTTTTTAGCTGCCATTGCTGTTGTATGGCAGGATCGCCGCCAGAGTTTGTCAGAACTCAGTTCTCAAATTTCGGTGCGGTATCCGATTATTCGCTTTCCTAATTTTGATCAGTTCTTGCTGGTTTTGTGAATGAAGTAATAAATGCAAATGCTCTTCCAGGTGGCGCCCGAGGTGGTCCCTGAACAGCAAGTGCTGGTAGATTTGATCAGTGCTATCAAAGCAATGCCCATTGACACATTGGTCCAGACTTTGCATCAGTTGGTCAAATCACCTCCCTCAGTACATGGAACTAATCATGTAAGTCTGCATAAGTCTTTCCTTCCATCATCATGTCTCCTAAGTGCAAAATGCTAATAATTCTGTTTTTTGCAGGCTGTTTGTTTGGAAGTCAGTGCTCTGGAGCTCTTGCTGTGCTACTTGCGGCAAGGTGGGAGTCCCTCTCCCCTTCTAGCGGAATCCTGGAGCTCTGTTCTGTTATTATTACGTGATGGGCTCCAGCCTGGCCTCCCTCCGCCTGCTCAATTTTTACTTCTTGCTGTTTTAAACGAATTTGTTCAGCGATGTCCATCTCCATCTGAAAAGAGGGATGTCAGAGACCTCCAAGATATCACAACTAAGGTATCTAACTCCTCTTTTTTATTTTTTTGTTTTAACGTTAGAGAAAACAAAAATTGTCATTATAAAAGAAATATAATTTACATCAGCTACTCCTTCATTTTAAATGTGCATTTTGTGTGTGTTCAGCTTGTGGAATCCTGTGGATCTATTGCTGGAGCTCGATTAGAGCAGACCACATGGCTGAGAAGAAATTTGGCCGTGAAAGAAGATCAATTAGTGGAAAGGGAAACTATTGGAACAGGTATTTGTTTTGTTGTGGAAGAAGTAACACTCCTGACTTAATGGTTCTGTCAAATTAATAACTGTTAAATGGTCTGTACCATTCTTTCCAGCAGGCAATGCTTCATTATGTCAGTACAGTATTCAAGCCCAGACAGTTTTAGCAGAACAACTGGCTTCTCTCTTAGATGTCACATTTGGAAGTCAAGAGAAAGAAAAAGTCGTCAACATTCTTACCTCATTGCTGTACAATATCATACCTTATCTACGTAACCACTCGTAAGTTCCTCAAATAGTTTTACAAACTTGTCCACACTTTTTGGCACAATACTCATGATATTCATGATCTAAATCTTGTGTTCCAGACCGAGGAATGCAGCAAGTTTCTATGCATGTTCAGAGCTGCTTGCCAGCCTAACAGCTTTCCAATACACCCGTAAATCATGGAGGCGAGATGTACTGGATCTGCTTTTGGAGCCTGCACTCTTTCAAATGGAATCAAGAACATTACCACATTGGCGTGCTATTATTGACAATCTAATGTCTCATGATACTGCCACATTCCGTGATCTTATGAGTAAGTAATTTGTTCTAAAAATTGTAATATCAATTTAAATGATCATTCATTTCATTTATTGTTTGTGTTTTGTATAGGTCGTGTTTCATTGGGTCAGGGAAACTCCCTCAGTCTCTTTTCAAGCAGAGAGCAAGAATATGAACAGCGAGCTCATCTCTTGAAAAGATTGGCTTTTGTCATTTTATGCAGTGATATGGATCAGTACCAAAAATACATGCCTGAAATCCAAGGTTTGTTTCCAATCATTATTTGATTCACAAGTACAGTAACTGTATTATTGACTTTTTGTTACATGCAGAATTTATAAGTTCATAATTTCTAATTTACAGAGAGATTAGCTGAAAGCCTAAGGCTTCCACAAGTTGTGCCAGCAGTTCAAGCTAATGTGTTCCTCTGCTTCCGCGTTCTTCTGCTACGAATGTCACCTCATCATGTTACATCTCTGTGGCCAGTCATTATTAGTGAAATGGTGCAGGTTTTCCTCCAGATGGAACAGGAGCTTAGCACGGAGTCTGAGGAATTCAGGTATGTGTTAAAATGTTCTGAGTGCTTCTGTATGATGATCTTTGTGCAGCAACCGTTAGACACTACATCTGGTTCTTCACTCTAGCGCTAATTTGGTTTACATTTACTACTCTTTTGTTCCTAAAGTTACTTATCACCTGCTTAAATCACAGAAATGATAGATAATCTAGTGTCTTTCTGCACTTCAACCAGACCCCTCCTACTTAAAATAATAATGAAAAAATGGTATAGATTACGAAGAAAATATTTCAAGCAGTAATTTTTAATATTCTCTGTCTTCAACTTTTCAATTTCTAAGTTTTGCATGGTTGCCTCTTGCTTGGACATAGGCTTAAGTTGTGCAGTCTGTGCTTAAATTTTCAGTGTGAAATATACTCCTTTACTGGCTGGGGCTCCATGTTTGGGATTTGGTGGTGGCATTTTTTTGGAACTCATTTAATTATGTGTATTGCAAATTTGTGACTTTGTCCTTTATTGGCTAATTGCTAACAAACCGGTTTGGTGTGTTCCTGCTGCTGGTTCACATCCTCTACATGTGTCATATCTGGTGTTTTGTCGGGAGGCAGGCAGTGCAATAATAGGTAAGGCTTGTCCCATATACCTATTGGGTAGCATTCTATTGGTGTGTTGTCTCAGGTGGTGGTATGGGCTGTGGTTTATCATTTTAAGCATGTGTCTTATAAAATTGACTATTATAATATTAATCTAACCTTCTGTTTGCACAATGTATTTTTTGCTGTATGTATTTAATTATTTCCACAGTTCTTATATTCGCCTGGTGTCTGCTCTTGATTTGGCATGGGTGTCTGATCGTAGCAATGGACTCTATGCGCGCGGTCACCCTCACTGGCTCCAGCTACAACTTGCCGCAGCACACTTACTACATTTAGCGTTACAACTACCAGCCCATCGGTTACCACAATTCCAAATGTAAGTGCCCTCGTGCAGGAACTTTGCAACAAGTATTGAACAATCGTCACTGTATACTGTGTTTCCTACATTCAGGTATCGCTGGGCATTTGTCGGTTCTTTAGAACCTGCTGGCTTAAATAATAACAATGCCAGTGTTATGGGATGTGTCGGTGGTGCTTCCTCAGCCCCACCTGAAGAGGATCCGGGTCGGTCTTTGCAGTTCATTCCCCACGTCACAAGAATAGCACGATTAATGGACTCCAAGGTACGGTTCCCTTTCATTGTATTTCGTCTAAAATTAATGGCAATTGTAATTATGTTTTTTCTTTTTATTTATAGTACGAGGGTCCTGTTGAACTACCTATTGGAAGTGCACTTCTACCTGCGACGCAGACTGTTCGCTGTCTTCAAGAACTTCATCCTTTCTTCTCTATCCTAAGTGCTACTGGTGGACATGCAGTCAGCGGAGCTGCTGACACGCCACAAGCTCTAACAGAGTTAGAAAGAGCAATCGAAATGGATTTCTTGGAGCCTATGCCTACTCGTTAAGTTTTTGTTAATAATTGCAGACATGGAAAGAAAGTTGTGATTTGTTTAATAAAATTTGTTGAGTTCTTCAGTGACACAGTGAGGTCAATTATGGGACATCAATTGTGATACATAGGTATTCTTCTTCTTTTTCTTTATCTTCTGTGTATTTTTAAAATTAACAATTCTTGTGCCATGTGGCTGCCAATACAAGACAATGTTTTATGGAGACTGCCCAGATCTGTGTCAGTTCTATGTAGACTCAAGGAAGATGATTTGAATGGCTGCAATATTGATTAAATCACATACTTTTGATGTTTTATTATTATTACTATGTTGCGGCTGAGAGCTCCCCTGTTTTTATATAATGGCTGTGTTAATTCTTATACATATAAGGTCCTAAAAGTACTGTAACATTCTTGTAGTAATCTGGTCTGTGTCTGAAAAGGCAGTTACCGTTTGCCTGTGAAGCATGAGTCCTTATGGTGATTAGCAAGAAGGACTGATGACAGTTGTTTTTTAAAGTAATGTAAGAATGAAAAAAAGTAATTATTGACAATGTTGCTAATAGCTATTATGCTTCATGCTGTGTTTCCAACTAGTCCTGGAATTGTTGTAACTTTTCGATCACTTAAAATGTGTTTACTACCTACAATCAATTTTCATATACTACTATTTTTCTTTTAAGTTCAAGTTAAGTAGTTTACAGAATGTGTTAATATTTTGTTTTGACAATGTGTACATCTCACTCCTCACATTGTTCCTACTGTATTATTTTTTTGAAACATTTTTAATTTTTCTACAGCATTTAAAACAGTTTGACCAATAACTGGAAATAACAATGTTTTAAAAACGTGCAGTGCAACACCTCTCACCCTCACTGTCTTGCTGCACTTGAGTAGGATGTTTGCAGGACTGTCCTACTTGCATGGTGGCTCATTTAACCTTTATTAGACCTATTCAGAATGACATATCACAAAATGGCTTGTCACTTGTTATCTCAAAGCATACCTGCTCTTTACTGCGTATAGTTAACTTATGTCTGGGCAAGAAAAATATTGTTGGCTTTTTGCAGATGTTTAACAATAAGATAAAAAAGGAGCAACGTAAATCATGAATCTGAAAGGGTTTAAAATAGTTGTGTAGTAAACTAGCTCTTATAGTTAATTTTCCAAAGCTTCAAGTTTCCTTCTTGATTTTATTTATTTCATTGTATATTGTGTCATGAGAGTAGGGCCCAACTCTTATGATTGTGTTAATTTTGAAGAGAGTAATATATTATACATTATTTTGTTGTTATTGGGATGTCATCAGAGTGGAGCAAATAAAGCAAATAAGGTATTTTTTAAACAAAGAAGTACTCATTTTTCCTGTCCCAGCCAGTCACCTCTTTAAGGATGGAACTAGAACCTCTCTGGAGTGTGTTTCAGCATGATTTCAGCACAGCACTGTCATAGGAAAGGGGTAAATAAGAGCAGCAGATTTAATCTTTGAGACTTGTATTAAGCAATCAAATCATGAAAGTATTTGGATGATAATTATATGTAGATCTATTCCATACAAAATGCTGTAGGATGGGACTGAGTGTTAACATTCAAATTAACACTAGAAAATGTGATTTCAATAACAAAGAGGAGCATGAATAAAATATAATAATTACAGATGAAAAATTATTTCAATCAAAATACTAAAGGGTTTAGAAAGACACTCAAAATTGAATTGATACTACTAGATTGCAACATGACAGATTTCTTTTCCCATAACAATAATAATATTTAGTTAGATATCTTATGTACATAAAGTTGTTCAAAACAACACCAGAAAGGAGATGGATATGGATATCAGTTTGACTAGACATTCAAGTATGGACAGAAGTCTACACACACATACACACACTCTTTTTCAGAAACTGGAATGTAACTGCGCTCATGTCTAATTCAATGGAATTCAAAATGTGGGACGGTTAAAAGAGATTTTTCAGCACAAAATATTTAGTTCTTCAAAAGTGAGAGGTACACTACTTAAAAATCAGTTTGTCTTGATGTCGACAATTTTCACTATGATTATCATTACATATCGTCATTCTGTCCTCATTTAAAAGAACTTTAAACAGCAGTCAAAGAGGATAAGCCTCTATAGTGCAAAAAGGTTAGAAATAATAAACAATTTATCTCAAAACTTTAACAATTGAAGATATCAACAGAACCACAACAGGAGCCACATTACCGCAACAGAAAATCTCCCTCCAAAAAACTTATCTTAAGAATTAGAGCAACTGAATAATATCACTGAAAATGTCACTTTAAAAGAAACTAAGAACATCAACACATTGTAGAAAAATAATAAGCACACTACAGGCATGCTTCCAATTGCAAGCATATTTTTCAGTCACAAGAAGAGAGAATGACATTGGCATTTGCATTCAACGAACAACAGGCACACAAACATTTGGCACATACTAGTCGCCGAGCAAGTACATGCACTTCCCATCACAATAACAATTAACTGAAGTGGTAACATGAAAGGTGAAACAAAGACTGATGTGCAAAACAAATCCATCCACACAATCGCAACTTATTCTTAGAAGATTTAAAAAAAGAGAAAAGAAACATATCGTTCCTTTTCACAGTCTAGGCAGAGGCCTCAAGTTATAACAACAATGACCTTCCCTGTCATCCACCTTCCATCAACAAATAACATCTCACACTTACAGTGCGTCCCGCACACACACACACACACACACGCGCGCGCATTCACTCACACATTCACACGTCTTTGGTTTCTGCCAGCATTTGGGTAAAGACAGGTTTACGACTGCACACATTGTCAATGACTTAGTTACACTATGAATCGCTCACAGCACATTGGCTGAGCAAAACCAAAAAAAAAAAGAAAAGGAAAGGCAAGCAGAGCCCACCTGCGAACCATCACAATAAAAACCGTAGACAACAATCAACGACATCACGAATGACTCGACTGTCCTGTCCAGGACGACTTCAGGACTTGTAGGTACGGATCACGTCCCTGATGACCGCGCGGCACATGGGGCAGTGGCCGCCGCCCTTGCCGCGCCACTGCTGCACGGCGCACTCGAAGCACATGCACATGTGGCCGCACGTGTACAGCACCGAGTCGATGGCGCGCTCGTAGCAGATGGAGCACTCGCTGCCGGACATGGTGTTGGACACGGCGTGCTGGCCCACCCACTGCTGCACGGAGGGCTGCAAGCACAAGGCAATGTTAGAACCGGCGTCTCGGCGAGCTGCTGCATTCGAGTCACACCACAAGACACTCACCTCCGCGAAGCCGTTCTCGGCGAAGGACGTGGCCGGGCCCGCGTCCGCGAGGCCGCTGGCGGACTGGGGCGTGGGCGCCGGCCCCGGCAGGTAGGTGTGGGGGTTGGGCGGCAGGTTGACGACCAGCATGGTGCCGCCGTTGGCCGCCAGCTGCAGCACCTCGGCCGTGGCGCCGGTCGGGGCGTGCGCCACCGCGTGCGCGGGGCTGGCGTGCGGCGTCACCACCGTCACGGTGGGCACGGACGTGCTGGACGGCGCGGGCGACGGCGCGGGCGCGGGGGCCGTGGAGGCGGGCAGGCCGTGGGGCGGCACGGGCGGCCGTGACACCTGGCTGGGGGTCGCGCTGGGCGTGCAGCACGCCAGCCGCCCGTTGTTGTGGTTGTTGGCAGTGTGCGGGTCCACGCTGGACTGGTTGGCCAGCGCCAGGCGCTGTGCCGCCGTGGACGACGGCGTCGACGTGAGGGACGGGTCCATGAGGGAGCCGAGCAGGCGCACGCGCTGCGTCGACCCGTACACGTCCAGGAAGGCCCACAGCTGCAGCGTGTGGTCCACGTGCATGAAGACGACGGGCGTGCTGCCGTTGCGGGAGATGGTCACCTCGCCCGTGTGCGTCACGGAGAAGGTGAGCTCGTCGCCCCGCTGCGGCGCCGAGGCCACGTCCTTGCTCACCACCCAGTACTCGGAGCGGTCCAGCAGGAAGTCGGCGTCCTCGGGCAGGTCCGAGGGGCTCAGGGTGGCGGGGTCGCACGACGTCAGCCCGAAGGCCAGCGCGCCCACGTAGGCCGGCTCAGTGTTGAGGACCTGGAACAGCAACGGCAATGTCACGCACCGGCCCAACGCGTAAACCGCAAATAAATGAAACCTTTGGCAACATCGCGCAGAGTCGACGGGAGGAAAAATGGCGGTGCTCGGGGCTTACCTGCACGACGATGCGCTCGCCCAGCACGACGGGCCGCTGCGTGAACACGTAGCCGTGGCAGAACTCGGTGTCGGGCCTGGTGGCCAGCGTGCGGTCCGCGTTGAGCACCACGTTCCTGCCGCGCGTGCGGTGGAAGGCCATGAAGCTGAACACGGCGCCCGACGGCTGGAACCTGGGCGACGGCAGCATGTCGTGGTCGTGGTGGCCGCCGCTGCCGCCGCGGTGCTGGTGATGGCCGTGCCGGTGGTGGGCGTGGTGCGGGCGCGCCGCGGGGGCGGCGGCGGGCGCGGCGGCGGGCTGGTTGTGGGCGCGGGCCGCAGCCCTTTGCTGCTCGCCCTGCTGCGGCGGCGCGGGCAGCGGCTGCTGCAGCCTCATGGCGGCCACGGCGTCGGCCAGCCTCTCCGGCGACCCGCTCGAGTCCCACTCGCCACTGCTGCCCGTCAGGCTGCGCCGGGAGTTGTTGAGCTGGGCGCGGGGGTCGACCAGCTCGATGGCGGTCGAGTTGCCGTACACGTCCACGACGGCCCACAGCGGGCCGCGCGTCTCCACGTCGCCGAAGAAGAAGCCCTTGTCCTCGCCGTTGACGCCGAAGTGCACGTCGCCGGTGGCGGTCACGTAGAAGTAGAGCACGGCGCCCTGGACGGCGAAGCGCTCCGACAGCGCCTTGGCCCAGCTGCCCGGCTTGTTGGTGAGGTCGGGGCACGCGTAGCGGGGCAGCCCCGACGACGAGGCCGCCAGCGACACGGGGTCGTACGACGTGAAGCCCATGCGGATCACCCCGCTCCAGCTATCGGAGATCTCCAGGAAGCGGATGTACACCTGCGGGCCGGGCAAGAGGGTCGCGTCAGCACACCGCAGGAACAAGACATTTCAAGGCTCGCCATCCCACAGTGGGCCAGAGGACCGGCGAAGGCGGCCAAAATTCCAGACGCGTTTTGAGTTCCAGAGTCGCTAAACAGGACTCGAACCGAACGAGTGACCCCAGCAATGGATTCCTCGTTCGGAGAGCAATCCATTGGTGGGGTCACACGTTCGGTTCGAGTCCTGTTTAGCGACTCTGGAGCTCAAAACGCATCCGGGATTTTGACCGCCTCCACCGGTCTTCTGGCGCACTGTGCATCCGCATCTCGTCTCGGCGGTGTCGGCCTGGACTCTGGGCGCTCACCTTCTCGCCGACGAGCACGGGCCGGTTGCTGAACGTGACGGCCTTGCAGAAGGACTCGGTGCGGCGGGCGACGCGCCGGTCGAAGCAGAGCTCGATGTTCTCGCCGTGGATCTGGTGGAAGGCCAGCGGGGGCATGTTGTTGGTGGCGGTGCCGCTCGACGACCGGGTTGCTGCAACACACAGAGGAAAGGGGCGAACGTTAGTCGGCGGCGTCTGTAGACGGGAAGCTGCGGACCTGACCTCCGCGTCCGGGGGGAGGGGGAGGGGGACAGGGCACACAGTGCGATGTAGCCTCGCAACGTGTAGCGGAATGGAGCGATCGAGTGGAAAAACACATCTTAGGGGCGGAGAAGAGAGGGGCGGGGAAAGGGGCACAGCCCTGCCGCGGCAAGGGCAGCGCGCTACGCGGTTGGAACGGGGGGCGGCGGGGGCGGCGGCAGCCACCCCCCACGATCGTAGGCTGCTGAAGGGGCGGCACGGGGCGGAGCGAGGGCGGGGGTGGCGCCACACAGCCAGCCCAACTCGCCAGCGCCGCCAGCCAGGCAGCAGGCTGATTCCGAGCAGAGCTTCCGTCCGTCGCTGTGTCCCTCTCGCACTCGCGGCGCATCCCCAAGGTACCCCAAGGGAGAGACAGAGCGGCGAAGCCCTGTTCGGATCGGATCGGAATCAGACCGCAGGCAGCCAACCCTCTCGGAGTCTCGGAGCGCGAAGGGGCAGGGAAACCAGGCCGCCAGGCCGGCACCAGCTCGAGGGCCTGCTCGGCCACGACGGCGCGCACTGTGCACGGCAAGGTGCGCTCCGCAGCGCTCCGCACGCTCGGCCGCACACACAACGCCGCCGTCAGCACCGCCTCTACTTCCGGCGGAAGCCGTCCCCGCTCACTCGCGCAGCTCGCGCACGCACCACACCGAGCACGGCGTCAACCCTCCGTCTCTCTCCCTCTCCCTCCGACACGGCGCACGCGTCGCGCCTCACGTGTCGCACACGTGCGTCCATTCACAACGCGCTTTGCAGCCTCGCACTCGACACACTTGGCCTGGCCCGGCCCGGCCCGGCCCAGAGCGTGGCGCGGCGCGGCGACCAATTCACGGCCAATGACAGTAAGGCGCCACCAGTTGCCGTGGCAGTGGCGTGGCGGTGCCCTGGCGGCCATCCTTGACCCCGACGCCCTGGAGGCCTGGAGGCCCCGCCCGAAGCCCTCTCCAATTAAACGCATTTACTTTTACCATTGTTCAATTAGGGAACGCCTCGCGCTGTTGCCGCTCGGCTTCATTTTCTCCTCCCGATTCCCACTGCTGGCAATCGCTGCCTTGATGTTGTTGTTGTTGTTGTTACCGCACCGCCGCGGCGGTCTCTAGGCGGGCTGGACCACTGCGTGGTGCTGCGTCCCTACATCCTAGATTCCAGCCAGTATGCCGCTCCGTCGTCCTGCATCTGTATGCCATACCACGCCGTGCATGGCCTGTCTTCTTGACGCGGGCGTGGCGGGGCGTGGCGTGGCGGTGGCGTGGCGGGCGGGGGTGGCGGGGGGGGGAGTCGAGAGGTGACTCACTAACTGGTCTGGCCTGGAGCAGGCTCGGGGCGCTCGCTCGCGGGGCCCCCGCGGGGCACGGCGCGGCGGGGCCGACCACGGCCGGCGGCCGCGCTCGGAGTTGTACTACCGCGAGCAGGGCACGGCACGGCAGGGCACGGCACGGCGTCGTACGGCTGCAGCATCCCGGCGTGCCGTGCCGTGCCGCCGTGCCCCGGGCAGGGCATGCAGGGCACTTTCGACACCGTGACATTTGCACGGCGTGGCGGGCGTGGCGGGGGGCTCGCGTTGCTCCGCTAGGCTCCGCCGTTCCCAGGCCAGGCGAATCGCTCTGTCCCTCTCGCACCGCCACGGCGCTACGGCCCGCCCCACGAGTGCGAGAGAGACAGAGCAGCGCGACGAAAGCGCCGTTCGGCACCAGCCCGCAGTCCGCCAGTGCAGCAGTCCGCGGCGGCATAGGGGAATAATGAATAATGGACCGTCCGGGCCAAAGAGCGAAGCGAGACGAGTGTAGAGCGAGACAACACGGTGCCCTAAATAACTCGCACGCATGTCGCCGGGCACGTCACGTCTGTGTCACGTCGCCGTCCTGGCAGTGTCCTGGCCTGGCAGTCCGTCAGTCAGTCACGTCGTCGCGCTGCATCCACCGCGCTGCTGCACTGCATGGGCATGGCGACGACGACGATGCGCGGACACGCTTTGATGCCGCGAGGCAGCGAGGCGCACTGTGAAGCACGGAGTACAGTCAGCCGCGCAAGCAGCGCCCGCGGCGACACTCCACTGTAGAGGACAGCCAGTGGCAAGAGGCAGGGAACGACCCAGTCGCCACAAAGGAGGCCCTTTGCGTGACGGGCGTCAAAAGGCCGTTAAAAGTGACTCGGGGTATCGTCACCGCCATGCGCATAATAGCCCTCGTGCGCGACTGTACACTGTACGCCGCTCTCATAAGCGCGCACGACAGCGAACAGTGGAACGCTCTCCGTCACGAAGGACACACTCACACACACGCAGTCCTTTCCAGTGTACGTACTACTAGGCGCGATGCTCCACGCAGTGTCACATCCCAGGCACGACAACGACGCCGTCGTCGCCGCGACGTCGCGGGCAACTCCCGTTCGAAAAGGGGGGGGGGAGGGGGCACGGCGACGACGCGCCGACGACGGCGGTTCTCACGGGGGCCGCGAGTGGCGGGGGGAAAGGCGGAGGGGACATGAACGTCGTTCCTGTCCCTCGCAGTGTGGTCACCAACCATCCACTGTGTGTGTGTGTGTGTGCGCGCGTGTCTTGTGTGCAGAAGTGTGAGTGCAAGTAGAGTGGTGTGTGTGTGTGTGTGTGTGTGTGTGTTAGCGGCCGCGATCTGCAAAACTGAAAATGACGCACGGCCGACAAGCAGACAGCGCCGCGCCTTCAGGGACGCCCTCTCCGTGTCGAGTCCATGTCCACCATCCAGCCGCCAACAGGTCCCCCGCCCCGCCCCGCCCCGCCCCGCCCCGCCCCGCCACCCAAACCCGATACTACTCCACCACCGCCCCGGCCGTCCATCCCGCTCCGCCGTCGTCGCCGTCCTCGAGGGGTGGTGGACGTCGGAGTGGCGGTGGCGCGCGCCGGGCCCCGCCGAGACCGGCACAACTGTCGTTCGGGGAGCGCCTGAGGGACGCAGGGACCGCCCGTCGGAGCGCAGAGGGGCAGGGGCGGCGCCAGGGGGGACCACCCACCCCGCGGGACGCAGATTTCTCTAGACAGACAGACGGACAAGCAGGCAGACAGACAGGCAGACGATGCCAACGCAGCGCGCCGATAACCTCGCGCGAGTGCACCGCGATGCAGCGAGCCCGCACCGCAAGCAGGCGAAGCAGGGGGTTGGTTGCTAGGGGTGAGCCGCACGCATTCCCTAGCAACCGGCAGCCAGGGCCGCTTTGTGTGGCGAGAGGCAACCCCTAGCCTCGCTGCCTTGCCTCGCTGCCTTGCCTCGCTGCCTTGCCTCGCTGCCTTGCCTCGCTGCCTTGCCTCGCTGCCTTGCCTCGCTGCCTTGCCTCGCTGCCTTGCCTCGCTGCCTTGCCTCGCTGCCTTGCCTCGCTGCCTTGCCGCTGCCCTGCTCGCTGCCCTTTCCTCGCTGCCTTGCCTCGCTGCCTTGCCTCGCTGCCTTGCCTCGCTGCCTTGCCTCGCTGCCTTGCCTCGCTGCCTTGCCTCGCTGCCGTGCCTCGCACATGGCGCGGCTCGCGGTGCGGCGCGGCTCGGCGAGCAGCTGATGGCCAGGTAGACCCTCATGCACGGCCCAGCAGCTGTTGCTGAACTGATCCCGCTCCCCCTCTTCCTGAGAGGAGGAAAAGAAAAGGGGGGGGGGCAGCTGCCGTGTCTTTTCGTCCAGGAGCGAAGCAAAGGGAGGCAAAGGGGTGCACCCTCTTCACCTGCTCGCCGCCGCGCCACGCCGCGCCGCGCCGCGCCACCGGGTCGATGCTTGGTCCATCGCGTCGCCGTCCGGCAGCCTGGCCGTGCCTGGCGGGGTGGCGGGGCTGGCGGGGCTGGCGGGGCTGGCGGGGCTGGCGGGGCTGGCGGGGCTGGCGGGGCTGGCGGTGGGGGGCTGGCGGGGCTGGCGGGGCTGGCGGGGCTGGCGGGGCTGGCGGGGCTGGCGGGGCTGGCGGGGCTGGCGGGGCTGGCGGGGCTGGCGGGGCTGGCGGGGCTGGCGGGGCTGGCGGGGCTGGCGGGGCTGGCGGCCGCCGCGGAAAACGCGCGCGTCGTGTCGCCGCGTCGCCCCGTCCGAGGCCCCGTCCCGTCCCCCGGGGTGCCAAGTTCCAAGTCCCTCGGCGTGGAGCCCCGGGGCTGCGACAAGTCCGACAAGTCGCACACCTGCCTAGTGGCGGTGTCGCCTTCATTTCATGGAAACGAGGCGCGGCCATAGAGATAGTAAGCGCGGCCCGAAAAACAACAACACGCCCTCATGGGCACAACTACACGCGCGGGGGTCGGCGACCCACAGACCGCGACACTTAGCACTTAGCGCCACCACTGCGGGCGGCTAAGCGTGCTCTAACACCGCGCCAAGCCGGTCGAGGCGCCGATGCACGGTGGGCCAGAAGACCGGTGGATGCGGCCACAGTTCCAGACGCGTTTTGAGCTCCATCATCATCATCATCATCAGCGCTGTTAGGCCTCTCACAGACCTTTGGGGTAGCTGAAAAGGACTCGAACCGAACGTGTGACCCCACCAATGGATTCCTCGTTCGGAGAGCAATCCATTGGTGGGGTCTCACCTTCGATCCGAGTCCCATTCAGCGACTCTGGAGCTCAAAACGCGTCCGGGATTTTGGCCGCCTCCGCCGGTCTTCTGGCCCACTGTGCGATGCCATGCCGAGGTCTTTTGTTTCCAGTGCAGCAGGCGGCGCAGGCGGGCCGCGGCTCGGCTTCGCCCTTCGGCTCGGCCCCACACGCAGCCAACCTGGTCACCATCTGGGCCTCGTCCACACAATGCACCGCCTGCACCGCCTGCACCGCCACTAGACAACCAAGGAGCAAAATCAACTAAGACGGACCACTTCTTCCGGTGACCCTCTCCGATTTGCCTGATTTTTTGTAGGCTTAATAACTCACTAAAGGAGAGTCTAAAGCCAAAATATTAGGTCCCGCGAAAATTTATTACCCGAGATATGGCCAACTTTAGTTTAACTTTTGGAGAAAAAACACAAATTTGGGTATTTTGGACTAATTTTACACTTTTCATAGTAGAGGGCTAAAATTTGGTCACTTTATGTAAAATTGGCCAAGGAACAAGAATATGACCTCAGATTTGACCTCCGACGAATAACTGAAGAGTAAACCCCCCAAAACACCCTAAAAACATATAAAAAAACAGTTTTTTCTTGGGGTTTCTGGGAAAAATATGTGGACAAAAATTTCTGATGATCTTATCTTGTAGAAAATGACGCGATGAATCGAATGAGACCACGCGCAGATTTTTATGTCAAACCGTTTAGGAGATATAGCGGCTCAAAATATGAAAATTTTGCCATTCATTTGTTAAAAAATGCAGGTTTTGAGCATTGTTTGACGTTTTTGCCTCTTTGGTGCGTGTAGACGTTCTTATCTTGTGGAAAAAGACGCGCTGAATCGAATGCGACCACGCATAGAGTTGTATCTCAAACCGTTTAGGAGATATTGTGGTTTAAAATATGGGCTCGGAAGAGCTCCTGCAAACACCCGACAAGGCAGAGCCGCCAAACACGCCTGTTGGGCGGGCGGACTACAGTGCCCATACTTTGAATCGCTATATCTCCTAAACGGTTTGAGATACAGGTCTGTGCGTGGTTTCATTCGATTCAGCGCGTCATTTTCCACAAGATAAGAACACCCACACGCACCAAGGAGGCAAAAAACGTCAAACTATGCTCAAAACCTGCATTTTTAAAAAAATAAATGGCAAAATTTTCATACTTTGAACCACTATATCTCCTAAACGGTTTGGCATAAAAATCTGAGCGTGGTCTCATTCGATTCATCGCGTCATTTTCTACAAGATAAGATCATCAGAAATTTTTGTCCACATATTTTTCCCAGAAACCCCAAGAAAAAACTGTTTTTTTATATGTTTTTAGGGTGTTTTGGGGGGTTTACTCTTCAGTTATTCGTCGGAGGTCAAATCTGAGGTCATATTCTTGTTCCTTGGCCAATTTTACATAAAGTGACCAAATTTTAGCCCTCTACTATGAAAAGTGTAAAATTAGTCCAAAATACCCAAATTTGTGTTTTTTCTCCAAAAGTTAAACTAAAGTTGGCCATATCTCGGGTAATAAATTTTCGCGGGACCTAATATTTTGGCTTTAGACTCTCCTTTAGTGAGTTATTAAGCCTACAAAAAATCAGGCAAATCGGAGAGGGTCACCGGAAGAAGTGGTCCGTCTTAGTTGATTTTGCTCAAGACAACCCCAACCTGGCCGATTGCTTTATGGCGGCGCACCACCAGAAGACCGTTGCATCGACGCGTTGCCGCCGCCCCCATCTGCAGCGCCTGCTCGCCGCCCCCGCCGCCCCCAGTTGGCGGCCACGTGCTGCGCTGCTGCGCACACATTCCTCGCCGGATTTCTGAGCGCCACGCCGGGGCACTTCTTGGAGTCCGGCAGGCCGCTGGCAGTTTGGCGTGGGAACGGCCGCGGCACCGCAGCGGCACGGCCCCAAGTCCGCGCGCCGAAAAGAAGTCGGCCGCGACTCGACTCGAGGAGGAAACTGCGTGGATGTCGCGTCCGAGCGCGCGGACTCACCATAAAACAATTCAATTATAAAATAAGTTTCGGCAGGGAAAGCGCGGCCGACTCAGCAGCAACGCCATCGCCGTGCTCCGCCTTCTGTTGGTCAGGTCGGAAAAATCCGTTGCACTTTTTAATGTTATTCCCCGTCTCGCTGGCCCCTGCTCCCCCTCCCGCCGCCAGGACGGCCAGGTCGTCAGCGCCGGCCCGGCTGCAGTCCGCTGCACTACAAGTTGATGTGCTTCACGGACACACCGGGTCACGGCGTGGCCTGGCGTGGCTGCGAGGGGGCGGGGGTCCGGGGCGGGGGGTTGCGCGCCCGGCGTGGCGTGGCGGGGAGGGGCGGGCCGCGCCAGCCACCGGCACAGGAAATGGGGGAAGGAAAGGGTCCCTCCTGGGGAACGGAACGGAAGGAACTAAAGCTAGGGTGGCCAGCCGGCAGACGCCGGGCCGGCGTGCTAGGGTGGCCGTCCGCACCGCGGCTGGCCGTGCCCCGTGGCACGCACACCTTCTTGGGCGTGATCTTCCGAGGCAGCCGCGGGCGCAGCCGCACGGCTCTGGACCAGATTACCAGATGACAGCGTACTTTCGAGGTCTGGCTCGATAAGCAGGGCTCTTACGGTGGGGGCCGCAAGCAGCTCGGCGCAGCACGCGGCTCTACAGCTGATATGGACGATAGTCGGCGCGAGCTCGCTACACTGTAGGGAGGGAAATGCCGGTTTAAAGTCCCTCCGGCGTCCCCTCCGAAGGCAGAGAAACAGAAAAAGCCACGCCAACAAAGGTCGCGGAGCCAAAGCATCCCCTGCAGGCTGAACCGAGCTGAACAGCGCTCTGTCTCTCTCGCACTCATAGGGCACCCCGTAGGAGTGCGAGAGAGACAGAGCGAGGGAATCGAAGCCGCCCCTCCCTTTGTGGGCGCACCTGGATCCAGGATGGGGTCCTGCAGGAGGTGCTGGGGGAGCGCGCGCGGCTCCCAGGACATGCCTGCAGGACGCCATTGTCCTCTTGGCCAAGTTCGCACGGCGAAAGACGCCCGCTGCTCCTCCGTGCGCACCACGGCACCGCAACGCACCGCACGCCAACGAGTGCACGGTCTCGGCCGCGTCTTGGCGGCCGGGCCGGCGTGCACCTCTGCCTGCGCGCCGGGGGCCGTCCCGAAGCCGCCAGCACACCGTAGGGCCGTCCGTCAGAGCGCCGAGACACGACACGGGACAAGGCGTGCGCCGTCGAGAGAACGCGGCGTCCCATCGGCCGACAGAGCAGCGGCCTGGCGACGAGCCGAGCACGGCGACGGACAGAGTCCAGCCGGGCCAGTGGGCCAGGCCCTGGTGCCAGCCAGGGGACGGGACGGCGGGCCGATAGGGCCATGCATGCGGGTACCTAGCCGGCGCCGGCGGCACCCAGCGGGCAGGGTACCGCAACGCACCATGCGCGAGGGTACTCTTTCCTTGGGTTTCTCGCCAGGAAACCGCCAGGGCCGGCACATAATGGAAAACGGCACGGCAAGGCAGGAATGAATGAATGAATGAATGAAAATACGTTGGCGGCCGGGCTACCGTAGGAGGCCGTTCCAGACACTTGCACGTCGGCGAGCCTCCAGCCACCTCCGGCCGTCGGCACCGGAAGCGCGGGGGGAGGGGGGAGGGGGCGGGGGAGGCGGGGGCGTCGCTGTGTAGCACGGGCCACAGGAAGCTCCATTCAGATTCCCGACGCAGCCCGCCCCGCCCCGCCACGCCCCGCCACGCCACGCCACGCCCTGCACGGTAGAGCACGCCCGACAGCACACAACAGCCACTCCAGCGAGCAGACGCGGCGGGCCGGGCTGCACTGCGCGATCAGGATCCTTGGATTAACCAACCAGCCGGGCAAGGGCATGCCAGATGCCCGCTCCTCCAAGACGACTCGACTTGAAACCAGACCACCATCCCCGCACTCACACCCACACACTCACGAGCGCCACCACACTCGTACTGACCTAGCCGCTTCTTGAGCTTCTTGAAGGCCTTCATCTTGCTGCGGAAGGGCGCGAGGAACTCGTCGACGGTGCAGGGGCAGCGGCTAGGGGCGACCACCGGCACCACGGCCAGCTGCTGCTGTTGTTGTTGTTGCTGGACTGCGGGGGCGTCTTCGGGGACCCTGCTGGGCCCCGCGACGCACGACGCGGGCTGGGGCACGGCCTGCACGGCCTGCACGGCCTGCACCACCTGCTTGCACCGCATCTTGTTGGCGCCCTGGAGGTTCTGCTGCAGCTGCTGCTGGTAGTGGCGGCGCGCGTTTCTCGAGCCAGGCACGGGGCCCACGCCGAGCGGTGGCGCCATGGGGTGGCCCTGGTGGCCCTGCTGGCCCTGCGGAGGGGCGGGGGACTGTCTGTTGGCCCCGGACACGGCGTTGAAGAAGGCCATGGCTGCGGCGCCCATAGCAAGCGGTAATCCTTTATGGCTGCTGTTGCATGTCCACGCACTCACACACACACTGACTAGACGGTCGCGACGGGGGTCTTTGGCTTGACGGGGACGCGACGCGCGAGGTCCGGAACGGAACGCGACTGCTCCGGACGCTGGCGGGGGCTCGACTGCTGGAAACTGGAGAGAGAGAAAAAGAGCGCGCCGAGCCGAGCGAGGCGGGGAGCCATCCGCACGGCGCAGCACAGCGCGCGGCCCGCCGTGGCTCGGCCTCGGCTCCGCGTTCGGGCCGCGCTCGGCCGCGCTTCGGCTCCGCTTCGGCTCCGCTTCGGGCTCGACGTCGGCGTCGGGGGAAGGGTGGCCGCGACGCCCGCCACCCCGCGCCCCTCCCCTCCTAGTGTAGTCGATTCGTGCTTCAAAATAGCTGAAGTGAGGAAAAACAAAGGACAAAGGGGAAAACGGCTTTCCACTCATGCATTGGACCTTGGAGAACCCGATTCCGTTGAGTCCCACTCGTCGGGCTGGGCAACTCCCGTAATTGAACAAAAGGGCCTAAATACAAAACTTGCTCTAGCGTGCCCGCAAATTAAGCTAGAAGGCCCGGGGTGGTGTCAAACTGTTCGGGAGGAACAGGGGAACAGCCTGGTATGCGCAGGTTTAAGTTGCGCCGACTGGGGCGGCCAAAAAATTCGAAATTTGTTCAAGAGCAATTTGAACGCTGTTTTCTATCTCGCCATATTTCGGAAATGAGGCAAAAAGTCGGAAATTACCCTTAAACAAACGTTATGTGCCAATTTTTCAGCTCAACGACGGTATTTTTACTTTCTCTATAACTTGAACCAGAGCTGAGAAAATCGAGTTGAAATGAAGCGGTGCGGAGACGCGGGCGGACGGGATTCGCGCTGGCAGGCGACAGCACTACGCGCCGCCACCGGCCGCCACGCTCTCCCCCCACCCTCCACCAGGGGCCACATCTGGAGAGGCCGTCCTTCCCGCTCGCACCGCCTTTGTGTGCGCACGGGTGGGACAGAGCGAGACAATGCCGACGCTTTCGGAGCGGCTGGCGTAAGGGTCCTCGAGCGCGTCTTCTTGCTTCACTTACAAACCAAGATTTCTCAAGGAAGAAATGAGGGAAAAGACCGGGACTTTTCGGGAACTTGTACAGCTCGGCGTGCTCTATCTCCTCGAATTTAGTCCCTCCCGCGAAACCCTGTGCGTCACTTAGAACTCCAGAAGAAGGCCATAAGAACACCCTTTGCGTTAAATGCCATTATTGGAGAAACGAAAATAGGTAAAATGTCCGTAATCCCGGCATAATGACCAGAAAAGCACAATTCTTTCGCCGGTACTCGTCCGATTTATTTTATTCCAATAAAAGTAGCTAAAATCTCACTTTTATCGCTTTCCAGTTGATTTTGCAATTTTGATATTCGAAAAAGCACTATTTTCGTGGTACGGATACGGAAATCGGAAGGTTTGCCTTTTACAAACACTAAGCGCGGGTGTCTCACGAGCCCATACGTGTCTTTGGATCCCTCCTAGCAGCACTGGTGGCCGAGAAAACTAAGTATTTGTATCCAGCGGAGCGCGGAGCAGCGCGCGCCGGCATGGACCGCTAGGCCTGACGCGCTGCGCCGCCGGTCGCAAATACTCAGTTTTCTCGGCCACTAGTGCTGCTAGGAGGGATCCAAAGACACGTATGGGCTCGTGAGACACCCGCGCTTAGTGTTTGTAAAAGGCAAACCTTCCGATTTCCGTATCCGTACCACGAAAATAGTGCTTTTTCGAATATCAAAATTGCAAAATCAACTGGAAAGCGATAAAAGTGAGATTTTAGCTACTTTTATTGGAATAAAATAAATCGGACGAGTACCGGCGAAAGAATTGTGCTTTTCTGGTCATTATGCCGGGATTACGGACATTTTACCTATTTTCGTTTCTCCAATAATGGCATTTAACGCAAAGGGTGTTCTTATGGCCTTCTTCTGGAGTTCTAAGTGACGCACAGGGTTTCGCGGGAGGGACTAAATTCGAGGAGATAGAGCACGCCGAGCTGTACAAGTTCCCGAAAAGTCCCGGTCTTTTCCCTCATTTCTTCCTTGAGAAATCTTGGTTTGTAAGTGAAGCAAGAAGACGCGCTCGAGGACCCTTACGCCAGCCGCTCCGAAAGCGTCGGCATTGTCTCGCTCTGTCCCACCCGTGCGCACACAAAGGCGGTGCGAGCGGGAAGGACGGCCTCTCCAGATGTGGCCCCTGGTGGAGGGTGGGGGGAGAGCGTGGCGGCCGGTGGCGGCGCGTAGTGCTGTCGCCTGCCAGCGCGAATCCCGTCCGCCCGCGTCTCCGCACCGCTTCATTTGAACTCGATTTTCTCAGCTCTGGTTCAAGTTATAGAGAAAGTAAAAATACCGTCGTTGAGCTGAAGAATTGGCACATAACGTTTGTTTAAGGGTAATTTCCGACTTTTTGCCTCATTTCCGAAATATGGCGAGATAGAAAACAGCGTTCAAATTGCTCTTGAACAAATTTCGAATTTTTGGCCGCCCCAGTCGGCGCAACTTAAACCTGCGCATACCAGGCTGTTCCCCTGTTCCTCCCGAACAGTTTGACACCAGCCCGAGCCTTCTAGCTTAATTTGCGGGCACGCTAGAGCAAGTTTTGTATTTGGGCCCTTTTGTTCAATTACGGGAGTTGCCCAGCCGCGATCGAGTGGGACTCAACGGAATCGGGTTCTCCAAGGTCCAATGCATGAGTGGAAAGCCGCTTTCCCTTTGTCCTTTGCTTTTCCTCACTCGATGCACGAATCGACTACTCTATCCGACCCGGCGCAGCGCAGCGCGCACTCCAGCTGTCGACTGCGGCGCGCGGTGCGGGGAAGGGCGGGGCGGGGCGGTTTCGGTTGGGGCGACAGCTGCGTCGCAACCCCTGCCGCCCTCCCCTCCCCCACCCCACTCCCCTCGTCCGCTTAGCACGCGCCGAGCCGAGCCGAGCCGAGAGCCTACCCCAGCAGCCGAGGAAAACAGAGACTTTTCCGTTTTGCAGCAATGAGCGCCAACGCGCCAACATGCAAACCCAGCCGATTTACGACTCTGCGGAAGGGCTATTGATTTCGGGCGCGGACGGGGCACCGCTCCGGCGGAGGGCCTCGCTAGCCTCGCTTGGGAGACTGGAGGGAACGCCATGGTTAATTGGACCAAATTCCAGCAGGCAATTACCGCTTGCGAAGTCCAGCCGCGGATCTACTTTGAGTCCATTTCTCGCCATTTCCTATCACTGGCGCTTTCTATAGAAACCGGAGTGTGTCGTGCGGTAGCAGCAGTCATAGCTGAACTCGCGGGAAAACTCACGCAATGAGTTTTACTTCAACCAGAGGCCAGAGGGAGACCCCTCGTTCCAAGCGGGTCCTTCTCAAACTTGTTATACAACAAGCATCACGTGACGCTGCGTGGCGGTGGCGTGCAGTCTTGCCGTCACTTCGCGCGCCAAACAGTGTTCTCGCACATCCGAAAAGGAGCAATTTTCCCGATCCTCCCAGTCAGTCTATCTCTCTCGCTCCTATGCCCCCTAAGTCTGTCTATCCTTCTCACTCCCACGCCGCCATGCCGCCGGTTCCGGTCCGGGCCTACCTGGCTCCCTCACAGCTGTGCGCCTCGCGGAAGGATGTTTCCGGACAGCGCTCTGTCTCTCTCGCACTCACGGGCCGCGCCGCAGCGGTGCGAGAGAGACAGAGCGCATCTTTGAGTCCGCCTGGCCGGATGCGCCCAATTACGGCGCCTTGCTTCGCCGTGCTTCGCAGTGCACGCGCGTGCCAAGGGGTGCGTGCACACTGTGCACACCCATCACGCGTGCACCCGTCCCGAACAGGGCTCGGTCGCCCCGTCTCTCTTCCACCCCTACGGCGCGGCCCACAAGTGCGAGAGAGACAGAGCGCCGACGGCCCAGCGACGGCGCACGCGTGCCGCATGGAAATCGTCCACTTTTTCGGAACACGCGCCGCGCGCGCCGCGACCATACGGAGCCCGCGTGTCTCGCGGCATCCTCGAATGAACTCTCGGTGGAGGCGGGCAAAATCCTGGACGCGTTTCGAGCCCCAGAGTCGCTAAATGGGACTCGAACCGAACGTGTGACCCCACCAATGGATTGCTCTCCGAACGAGGAATCCATTGGGTGGGGGTCACACGTTCGGTCCGAGTCCTGTTTAGCGACGCTAGAGCTCGAAACGGGTCGAGAGTTTTGGCCGCCTCCGCCGGTCTTCTGGCCCACTGTGTGGCGGTGCTGGTCGAGGCGGTGTTCACTTACGAGGTCAAGGAGGGGCCCGTTTAATCCGCGCTCTGGCGGCCGGAAGGTCCGGGGATCAGTGACACGGCCACCTCGGCGTGGAGTGGCGAGTGGCGTGACGGAAGGGCGTACGGTTACGCTAAGACGCTCACACACTCTGTGTGTGTGTGTGTGTGTGTGTGTGTGTCTGTGTGTGTGTCTGTGCGTGGCGTCCGGATATAGTCGGGCGTCCCGGATGGCCCGGATGGACGACGAGAGCTTCGGCCGGAGCCGTTCTTCCCACCACCCACACACACAGAGGCCGCGCCGCCCACACGCACGCCACACTGCTGCACCGCGAGCGTGTGTGTGTGTGTGTGTGTGTGTGTGCGTGCGCGTGTGTGTACCGCTGGACGCGCACTGGACGCGCGGGCCTTGCCGGCTGCAGCAGACTGATTCCAAGAGTCGCTCGCTCTCTCTCTCGCACCCAGACGGGCGGCTCCGCGAGTGCGAGAGAGACGCTCGGAATCAGTCTTGCCTGCAGGCCCTGCAGGTGGCGCTGCAGTGCCCGGCGGCGGCAAGATGCGCGGCCGGCAGGTGCGGGGGCGCCGTGGGCACCTGCGCCGTGCCGCCGTGCCGCCGTGCCGCCGCGCCGCCGCGACGCGCTGCCCCTCGCACTTGGAGGAGTCCAGAGCGAACGAACAGTCCCAAGAATACGAATAGTCCAAAGAATGCGAAGAGTACGCGGTCGTCCGCACGCGCGGAGTTTAAGGTTTAAGGTTTAAGGTTGGACGCTCAACGAACGGCTCTGTCAAGCATGAGCCTCTCACTGTTACTTAGTGAGGTTGATGGGCAACACAGGGGGCCCTTAGTCCGCAGAGTGCGGCTCCGAGCGGAGTAGCAGTCCCCATTCCATCCCCAGGCCACGCCGTGCTGC